TTTAAAAATCAAAAAAATAAAATAAAACGGGAGGAATTATTAACGTACTCCAAGCCAAAAATAAATTACGAAGTACAATCTTAAGGGGTATTTTAGACATTCCAAAAAAATACAAGGGTAATTTGAAAATTTTCCCAAGGGGTATATCAGGAAAGTTTACTTTTTAAAAAGAACAAAAAGGTACTGTGGTAAGCAGAGGCGTATCATCGTGCCACAAGCAGTCGCCGGAATTTACAAACCACAGTATAAAATCGGCGGCGACTTCTTCATACTCCGGCCATTTATTCGGTATATGTTTTTATCATTATCTGCTTCTTTTTTCAGTCTCAATTACTTATTTTTAATTTAACAAAATGGCTGCCTTTCGAATTATCAAACCATACTACTCAAAGCAAGTTTACTGTCAATTAGTTATAAGTTTATTAATTAATACGAATGAAACTACAAACATTAAATGAATGAAATCAATTTATTCTATTCTTTATACTACTGCTAATTCCAATTTCTGCTTAGTGGGTGATAATTTTTAATTGATAGGAGTGTTAATTCTCACTAATAGATTATTGGGTGTTTGATTTTTCATCTGGGTTTTTGTTGATTTATGTTTTTATGAATTGTAACAACAAATTTGCTTGAAAATCTGAATTAAGGGTAGAATCTGGGTATACTTTTTTGTTTTTTTAGTTGTTTACTGATTTGTTCCAGTTCTTGTTGACTGTTTACACCCCCCTTAAAACCCTGAACCATTGATTTCTGATTTTGAAGCTATGGAAGGAACACCCCAAAACCTAATAATTGAAGATGGTTTCTCAGCAGAGGAGCTTTTTAATCAGGGGTATTCATATACCTATGATGATGTTATCTTTCTCCCTCATTATATTGATTTCGCAACGGATTCAGTTCAGCTTCAAACCAAGCTTACCAAAAACATTTCTCTATCTATCCCTTGTGTCTCCTCTCCTATGGACATTGTCACCGAGTCTTACATGGCAGTAGCTATGGCGTCCCTTGGTGGGATTGGTATCTTACATTCCAACAATACCCCCTCTGAGCAATTTGCTCTCCTTCAGTCTGCCAAGTCCCGTCGTATTCCTTTTGTTTCAGATTTTGAGGTTAAGTCTCCCTCGGATGTGATTGAGTCAGAGGGTGATTTTGGTTACGCGAGTGTGATTTTGGTTACTGAGACGGGGAGCAGGAATTCAAGGGTTTTGGGGTATGTACTGAAGTCTGCTTGGTTATACTTGAAGAATAAGGATGGTAGGGTTTGTGATTATATGTCGAAATTGGATATTTCTGTGCCAAGTAGCTATCAGTTGGACCAAATTGCTGGGTTTTTGGGGGAGAAAGGGGTTAAATTGGTACCAACTGTGAGAGATAGTGATGGGGAAGTTGTCGATTTGATCACATTGGAGGATATTGAGAGGTTTCAAGAATATCCAAAGAGAGGTTTGCCATCATTAACACCTAATGGGGATTTCTTGGTGGGAGCTGCAATAGGGACCAGAGACTCGGATAAAGAGAGGTTGGAATATTTGGTCAAGGGCGGTGTAGATGCAGTGGTGTTGGATAGTTCTCAAGGAAATTCTATTTATCAGTTGGATATGATTAAATATATAAAGAGGACATACCCAGAATTGGATGTCATTGGAGGGAATGTAGTGACTAAATACCAAGCTCAAAACTTGATTCAAGCCGGAGTTGATGGGCTGAGAGTTGGTATGGGATCTGGGTCAATTTGTACCACTTAGGAGGTCTGTGCTGTGGGTAGAGGGCAGGTAACTCTTCAGTCCTCTCTAAATTAGCTTTTTTGAATGCCTTTGTTATTTGAAAACTTATGTTTACTATACTTGTTAATGATTAGATATGTATGGAATGTCAAATCTCAAATTTATACAAGTAAATGTTATAGCAGCTTCAGTTATCATAATGTTACATTTTTTCTAATTGCATTCTTTCATTTTTTGTGGACAGTTCCTTATGACGATTCATGCTAGCCAACCCCAAATCATTTTGGAACTAAGGCTTTGTTATTATGGTTGTTGTATATTCTTATTGCATTCATTTAATTTGAATCCTTATTGATCAGGGAGGGATATAGGCATGATTTTTCTGTGTATGAAGGGATGTAACATTATAGAGAAAGTGGTAATTATCAATAAATGTACTCGTATTAGAGATGAATAGATTATCATGGCTAAAATTTTGCCATTGTTACTTGTTTCATATTTTCACTTAAGGTAGAAATGAAGATTAACCTCAGGAGACGGTTGTTTAAATCAACACTCTGTTGTCTAATTATAATGCTACATGATTTTTCATTTTGTGTTAAGTTCCTCTGTCGTCTAAGCTCTAATTTGTGCTTTCATGATTTTGAGTCTTGAGATTCTTAATGTTGCTTCGCTTGATTCTCTTTTCCTTTATTTTGTACTTTTGGTGATTAGCTAACTATATTGCTGACAAAATATTCTTTGGATACTAGGCTACTGCTGTATACAAAGTTTCATCTATTGCTTCACAAAGTGGTGTACCTGTCATTGCTGATGGGGGCATATCAAACTCCGGACACATTGTTAAAGCCCTGGTTCTTGGGGCTTCTACTGTGATGATGGGAAGCTATCTTGCTGGTAGCAATGAGGCTCCTGGTGCTTATGTAGTTCAGGTATGTGCTGCTGGATACTTTATGATCCCTCATATAGTCATAATTAGTAGTTGTTAACATAATATTCTGAAACATTGATTTCTTTACTCTAGTCTCCAGGCATTTCATGTATTGTCAGTGAATTCCTATCTATGATTGATTAATTGTAGCTGGAGACTTGGAGTACAGTGTTCCCTCTAGTTAAAGTCAAGAAAACTAGTATTTCATACCTGATTAATTGGAGATGAGATTTTGTGTTAGGATGGTCGTCGTCTAAAAAAATATCGAGGAATGGGCTCTTTGGAAGCAATGACAAAAGGAAGTGATCAGCGATATCTTGGGGACAAGTCTAAGCTTAAAATTGCGCAAGGTGTTGTTGGAGCTGTTGCAGACAAGGGTTCTGTTCTAAAGTTCGTTCCATATGCAATGCATGCAGTTAAACAAGGTTTCCAGGATCTTGGTGCCTCCTCACTTCAGTCAGCCCATGATCTATTGAGATCAGAAGTATTAAGACTGGAGGTATGGCTTCATTTGATTTACCAGTAATCTTTCGTGTAGTAGTCTTTAATACTTGAGAGAGGTGCTCTAAAACTTCTTTATGCTCATGTGATCTGAATTGTTTGAATGGTCCGATTATAGGCTCGAACTGGTGCAGCACAAGTTGAAGGAGGAGTCCATGGCCTAGTGTCTTATGAGAAGAAGGCATTTTAAACAGAATTATGCTGACATATGCCTAGGGGTGCAGTGTATAACTATACACAACCGAGCTTTGACTTACTGATCAAATTGTATGCTTTATCTTGCTCTTTGTTTCTACTCCTCTTAACCAAACAAGTTAAACTACCTTGCTCTTTGTTTTTCCATAACCAAAACCGAGCTTTAATTTGTGATGCTATGATCTTTCCTTGTGTATGCTTTATGTCCGGGACACAGAGTCTCACAGAGCTGGGATAATATGGCATGAACTTTCTCGGATCAAATTTGGATCCCTCAATTTGCATATCACCTGCCAAATGTAGCTAATTCAATACTACGTAGGACAAAGAGTGAGCTTTCTCCGGGGGGGGGGGGGGGGGGGGTTTCGTTCCTTCTATGTGTGACATAGGTGGGAGCCTGGGAGGACTGCGGAGTCAGGCAGCAACTTAGCAAAGCAGCAAAGAATTCATCAGCAAGTTCAAAGGTGGAAAGGCTTGCAGTTGCATAAGCTGCTAGCTAAGCTTCTGTTTAGAAAGCTAATGTAGCTGAGATTTAGAACACTTTTGGTAATGGAGGGATAGAAAAGGAGTGTGGTACTACCAATAATGCTTGATCTTTGAACACTTAATAATGGACAAATAAACTACTCACTCCAATCTATTAATCCTGAATTTATGTTAACTCTACTTTTCTTTGAAAATTTTTTTTAAAGAATTTTTTTTTTTTAAAAAAAACTATCAATTTCATTATAACTTCCTATTCTATAACTTCCATTAAATAGATTCAGTAACTTCCGCTCTCTTTGCTTCAAAAAATGTCAGTAATAAATTGATGTATGCTCCCGCTCTCTTTGCTTCAAAAAAAAATGAATTGATATATACGATTGAAAAAGCACGGATACGCTCTAGTTTAATTAATCGACTTGCTTGTTTTATTTGGACGGTTTTGAAATAATATAATGTATCACTTTCTTGAGTGAAAGTATTCAATTAAATTTTACCTTTAAATATAAGAGTACTTTTTTTATAAAAAAAAAATTTGATGCAAAGATTTGATCGACTGCTACATTTAGTAAGATAAGCTAAGAGGTACACGCTACGCGTGTACAATATAATTTTCTTTTTACTGTATACGTGTAGCGTGTGCCTCTTAGCTTGTGTAGTATAAAGTGAGAATAGAAAATTATTTATACATACCATTTCACGAAGAACCATTTTCGCCCATATTTTCCTTTATCATTTATGATAGGTTGAATATCATACAATTTGATTATTTAGGCATTTGAAACGGGGTTCAAATAATGGAAAGGAGAAGATGAATTTGATATTTTGCAATAAAAAATAAAAAATTTGTACTGGTTTACATAAAAATAAAAAACATGATCCTAATTATAATCACAAAAACTAATATCATGCAATCACGTTTTTTTTTTCATCAAACAAACTATAGAATCTGTGAATCAATGACAGATAAATTTATTTTTTACATACACTAAAACTATAGAATCTGTGAATCCGAAATAGATGAATACTTGAAATAAAAGATGGTTTCTAAATAAAAGATAGTTTCTTGAAATATGACAATCGACTTTAATGGTTTATTATTAGACGAAATAATAAATTTTTGAGGTTAATCAAATTTTTTTGTGAAAGGTTAATGAGGCAAGTATAATTAAAGAGCAATTATGGTGTTACAAATTTTGAGTATTGGAGATTTGTTCAGAGGAAAAAAAAAATCGTCAAATGCTTAGTAGTTAGTGAGAAATGACATAGTCCATTATATTTTTTTTATTACTTGTATTAGGATAAACATGCATATATATTAGCAGTTAGCCAGTTAGCAATGATATACTTAATGATTTATTTTTTTCGTCAATTTTGTTCATCCATTACAGTTAAGTGATTAGCTTCATGTTTCACGTAAAAGAGCAGTTATGCCTTTTTTTTTTTATTTATTTTTTTTTTTATTTTTACAAAAGCAGTTGTGCATTTTTGAGGTAATTTTAAAGATTGAGAAGGGCATTTTAGAAAAAGCCAAATTTATCACCCAAAAAGTCCTTTCTCTTTATATAGTACTATAGATATATGATTATATGACCATTACAATATGTAATTGCATATTAGTAATGAGAATTATAAATTTAACAAAAATTATTATGAAATATACAATTTAATTAATACAACATCATACTACATTGTCTTCATAAGAGTTATAACATGTACATGTTTGTATAAAATCAAGTCAAAATTAATACATAAATTGTGCAAAAAAAAAAGAAAAAAAGAAAAAAAGAAAAAAAAAAAACTAAATTATATACTACGTATATATTTTTAATTTCATTCACACTAAATTATTTACACTTTAATTTACTTGGCTAAAACACTATGCATAACTACATATATACTATTTACAATTTAACTGACACATGTGCAAATGCAAAAATTTGACCTAAAAATACTCACTTTAATTGCCAACTTCATGCAAACTAGAATATTCACTGAAATTTCTACACATAATTCAAAAACCAAATTCAAAATGAAGGTAAAATAATAACCGTTTAAGTGAATACTTAGTCAATGATAATCATGCATGTTTAGTGAGTCGGTTAACTGCATAACCCATAATTTTCTCCTAATAATCTCCAACAAACTCTTCAAACTCTTTCATATATACCTCAACGTTACCCCTTTCATACACAGTCAATTTTCAACTTAGAAAAAAAAATTAACCTAATTAAGAAAATGGGAAATTCTTCCAAATTATCTCTCATTTTTCTATGCATTTTCTCCCTCTTAATATTTCATGGAGTTTGTACTGAATTTGAAGTTGGTGAAAGTTTGACCAAAGGATGGGAAGTTCCTCCTTTGAAACGCCCTCAAGTTTACAATGATTGGGCTCAAAAGAATCGCTTCAAGGTCAATGACACTCTACGTAAGTATCGTTCTATTTTAATTGTCGCGTATTAGTGTAATTTGAACTTTTAATGTGACAACTAGATTTGAATGGATGTAACGAAATGTATACCATGCATCTTTATGTATTTAATAATTTTCCTTGGTATTTCTCATTTCATATATATAGTATGACTTGCTAATTTTTGTGTGCTAATGTTAGTGGTAAAAATAGTACGAGTACTTTGATTCAATATCAAAAGTAGTGGAATTAACTGCTTGTTTTTATTATCTTGATTATGTAGAGTTATCATGTTATTATTGATTTAAGTCATTTTATGCTTGAAAATTTAACAAGATAAATCTTACTGTAAAAAATGAAATATTGTAGCAAAATTTCTTATGAGTACCGTAAGTTTTAGTTTGATAGTATAGTAGTTCGTATGACTAGTGAGTAATGTTTTTGATTTTTTTTTTTTTTTTTTTTTTTTTTGAGGAAAATAGTGAGTAACAAATTTTTAATTTTTTTTTTTTTTGACGGAAAATGCTCAAAATATATTACTCAGAAACAGAGTCAAAGACAATAGCAGAGTTTACATCAACAGGAATTTCTTCTATCCAAACATGCATTTCTAAGTAGTTTTTGCTAATTCGAGCAAGCTTGTGAGCAACACCGTTCCCTTTTCTGCCAATGTGAGGAACCAATTAATGATATATTTTTCCTCAAAAAAAATTAATGATACATGTTTTAGGTAAACATACAATGTAGCGTTATTTTTATATTTCTATCACTCGAATAAATTTTCAAATTACACTGATCGACGTGTAATGTTGTCATTTTTTTCAAATTAATACCATTTTAAGTACTTCCAACGCCCTATCCAACGTCCCGGGGGCATTCGTTAGCAAGATTCTTTTACTAATTAATTTTGTACGGACCATCAATTATGTTTGATCTAAAAATTAAAATTAGTACATAAGAAAAACCAGTCTTAAAAAATTTGTAGGAATTATTATTGCATTTTATTTGTATTATATCCTAATTAATTACTTCATATTACAAAATGGTGTAATTAATTATTATTTGTGCTATCATAGTTTTAAATATTACTCTCCAAATTTACAATTAATATTTAACGGAGGTAATATTATAAAACCCTTTTGCTTAATATAGAGTGTACACACATACACATAAGCACATTAGTAACCAATTTGTGTATATTGGCAGACTTCAAGTACAAGAAAGATTCAGTGATGGTGGTATCAGATGCTGAGTACAGCAAATGTGGATCATCTCAGCCTCTATTCTTCGCCAACACTGGCGACACCACCTTCGTGTTAGACAGGCCGGGGTTGTTCTACTTCTTGAGCGGCGTGGCCGGACACTGCCAGAGAGGGCAGAAGATGATTATCAAGGTGTTGGACGTGGAAAGTCCACCTGCTCCTGGTGATGATCAACAATCTGGTGATGATACAGCTGCACCAGACACTGACAAGAAAAGTGGTGCAACTCATAATAATAATAATAAGATTGGTTTTGTTGGGTTTATTTTTATGTTAATTGTTGGGTTTAATTTCATATGATATGATAGGGTGTGTTTGTTTAAGGTTGTTTCTTGGTTTATGCATATTTGTTTAGGAATTTGGATAGGTTATGTTTTGAGTTTGGTTTAACAATGGATTTTAGTCATGTTAATTAGTCATGTTTTGAGGGATTGAGATTATAATTTAAGTTTCTTGTTTAATTTCCTATATTACTATTTCATGGACTATTTTATCTTCTACGGAGTAAGAATTAAGGAAAATCTATGGACTTGTTTGGCAATTACAAAGTATTTGATTAACTATTAGCTAGTTGTCTAGGGTATGGTGTATTAACGAGTTATATAGGACGTGTACTTAATAGCTTAGATTTCAAAACTTAGATTTATGACATATCATATTATGATAGATTGATTAGTTATAAGACTTGTACTTTAGACTTAATATCACCTATGTGTTGAATGACCTTGTCCTCGTCCTCAACTCAACTCTGTTTTTCTAAGTATTATTTAGGCCCCGTTTAGTTTAATGTAAAACATTTTCAATGGAAAATTAATTTTCCTAGAAAACATATTTTCAAGGAAAAACACAATTGCAAATTAGTTTTCCTTTGTTTGGTTGCATACAAGAAAAGTCTAAGAAAAAAAAAATAAAAATTAGAGTGGGAATGTAAGGATGAATGAGAGGGAAGTAAAAAATAAAAAAAAGAGGTAAGAAGGAGAGAGGAAAATGTGGCTTCCCTTGTTTTGGGAAAGAAAATGTTTTTCATCATTAAAGATGAAATTTTCCCTCCTTGGAAAAATTGTTTTCCACCCCTTAACAAACCAAACAAAAAAAATGGGAAAAAAATGAAAAATTCATTTTCCATGAAAACCTTTTACATCAAACCAAACAGGGCCTTATTTACTTACTTCATACGCAATCTTTAATGGGTTACTTTGACCATTGATTTCTTTGATTGTGCATTAGTAAAAATTATACAAAGTTGATGGTATGTATTGAAAATTCATATCAATTTGAATCTAATAAGATCAAAATTGATCATTTTTTTACTTATATGGTGTATAAACAATTAGACATGGTATTTCAACTATAGGTGAATTACCAAACTACAGGTTATTATCTAATAATCCTAACTTTGATAAGAGTTTGCCTTCAGAAGTCGTCCCAAAGATTTACCTTTTTTTGAGTTTGCCTCCAGGTATGACCTCATTAAAAAAAAAATAATAAGGAAGTTTCTTTTAAAAAGATGGGTTTATAAGGAGACAAATCTTAGTAACGAGTTTTTAGGAATTTGTTAGAGGTTTTAGGGGGCATTTGGTTCACAATGTTGTATGGGTTTGAAATTAGCAAATGAACGAAGTTAGGGTGGTATGGGGTTGGAACTTAATTCTTAATACATTATGTTTGGTTGTTGTTTAGGAATGAATTTTTTATTTTTATTTGATTGATACCTAAAGGTGTGGTATGAGCCATACCCACCTCGCCCCTCTTGGGTTTCTAAAACCCATACCTTGTGGCCTGTGGGTTTGAGATATGTATTTAAAAATTAGATTTTTCTTAAATAAACATTAGGTATGGGTTTTTCATACCTAAAATCTACTAACCAAACGTTCCCTTAAGAAGGTTTAGTAATCAAATCTCCCAAAAAAAAAAAAAATTAAACACAACCTTCAAATGAATGAGTTAAGAGAAATACAAAGATAAAAGTAAGAAAGACATTTCTAAGTAAGACGAGTAATATCAGATTTAGTATAGAAGTGTTGTAAATTGTATTAGACAATGTATGAATCAATTCTATTACAAAGAGCATCCTATTTTATATTCCATGTAAATCTAATAAAGGTAATTATTGAATACTCTTGGAATTCTTTGTCTTGGCAATGCTGACAATATTGATAGACATTTTCATCTTTTATAAAATTTCATTTCTTAATTCGCTCCTTAAATCATGAGATGAAATTGTGCTTGTTGCCCAAGCATTAATTACACGTCATCAAATGGTCTGGGCTTTGAAGGGAAGCTGCCTTACTTAGAAAGGCTCAGAAGGGCGGTCGACTTAATTACATGCAGTTAAGTCCGTACTCGATCAGTTCTGACCACTGTGCGTATAATATTTCATCAATCAAGTGATTTTTTTCCCCTGAATTAGCTTTAATTGATTGATACTATAGTCTAGATTGATTTCATAAGATCTTCAATTGATCGTGAACTTCTTGATTGAACAAATCAAATCCTTGATATGATTCTATTGAATATTCTTTGATATCGTTGACCATGCTTGTTTCCTTTTCAGCTCGTTTCTTTATTATGCGTAATTGATCTTTTGACTCATCTTTTCCTAATTTGTAGGTTGCTTAGAATTCGCTCCCATTAGGTATATTCTACCTATAATATATAATTTTAAAGTTAGGATATTTTAGGGAAAAAAAAGGAAAAAAAAAGAAAAAAAAACTCACAAATTTGATTTCGCCACCATTTAACGGATTCTTGGATGGAATCCATTAGTGAGGCCATAATTGACTCGTGTCAATATCCTATTGTTTAAAAAAAATAAATTAATAAAAAGAAAAAGAATTTTTTTTTTTTTAAAAAAAAAAGAAAAAAACCCCAACCCAAACCCAACCAGCCCTACCACCGGCATCGACAATTATGGTGTGGTGGGAGTGTAAGGCTGGTGGTGGTTGTCGTGGGGCTGGTTTTGGGGTTAGGGTTTTTTTCTTTTTCTTTTTTGTTTAATTTTTCTTTTTTGTTTAATTTTTCTTTTTATTAATTTATTTAATTTTTTTTAATCAATAGGATATTGACACATGTCAATTATGGGCCCCACTAATGAATTTCATCCAAGAATACGTTAAGTGGTGGTGAAATCAAATTTGTGGGTTTTTTTTTTGTGGTGTTATGATAAAAGTTTTGTTTTTTATGGTGTTTTAACCCTTTTTTTTTTTTTTTTTGCGGTGTTATTTTTAAAGATATCCTTAAAGTTAATCCTAAAATAATAGTCGTGCATCACTTTTATTTAAGGAGTATTGATTAATGCATCATTAGAATTCGAAAAAAAAAGAATGTCAATCAAATCAAAAGGCAAAAAAAATCATAGAAGATAAACAATGGGTAAATAAATTAGTACTCCATACTATATAAGACCACAATAATAAGAATAATTTGTTTAAGAATCAATTTGAGAATAACAATAATTAAAACTAATCATCTCCTCTTTTTATAACCAATAAAAGAGGAAATTTTTTTATTCTAATGTCATTATAATGTGGAACTATATATCTCTTACTTAACATATGTATATACTGAGGGTCGAGAAGTACATATGCCATCACTAGATCCCGGATCTAATTTGCAAAAATAAGGTTCACAACATTGGTTGAGTAGATCACATGGTTGCCCAACATCTACGCATTGGAGGCCAACAACATTCGGAGTAACGAGGTTGTTTGAGGCTAAGGGGCTAATGGGGTCACGTCGGGTGGCTAAGGCCGGTTGAGTTCTAGTTGCAACAACCATAATAGCCATCAACATTAGGAAACTGATCACCTTCTTCATCTCCATATTTTCACTTACTATATGGCTTGCTAAAATTTTCTTAATTTCCTATTAATCTTTGTGACTTGTAATGTTTGTATTGGATTGTTGGAGAGGACACCCTTTTATACTAAAAGAAGATAATCACATTTTATTTTCTACTATAAAAAGGCATAATAACATTCATTTATTTGAAATAAAGAAGGAAATACATAAGGAGCCTAAAGTAGTAATACTTGGTATTTTATAAAATCAGGCATTTACTACAATGATTTGCACATGGATTTGTCATAAATATATTAATGAATTATGATACTTTCTTTTCTTGAATTGATTCTCTATTTATTGAGATATGGATGTATAATTTATGAGTATGTTGTCTATACATGCAAATTAATAAAATTGCAGCATTTAACTCTATTCACTTGTAGGGGCGAAGCCATAAATAATAAATTGAAATATGAGGGGTGGGGGGGGGGGGCGAGATTTATTAAGTAACAAAATATTGTATTTTTCGACGGTATTTGCGATATTATAAATTAGATTTGACAATATTTTATAAAGCATCATAAAGTATTTCATCAAAATAATCAACATTACAACGTATAAAGTCTTGCCTTATTGGTTCAAGCGAAGGATTTGGGTACGATATAAGAATTTGGGCTTGATTTCCTCCTATGTCCTCCCCGTTTATATTTTGTATTGTTGTTGTGGTTCATTTGCACAAAATCAATATTAATAAAAGAAAGTTTGAAATCAAATTGATAAACAAATAAACGTAAGATTGAAGGGATAAAAGAAATATAAAGTAAAAATAATAGTACTATTAATTTCAAAGTGAGAGAAAAAAAAATTCCCTTAAAAAAAGTGAGAAAAAAAATAGTAAAACATTGGCGTCAAAAAAATAACAAAAAACATGGAAGTGACACCCACAAGAATCAAACACCATACCAACATGTGATAAAATGAGTAGTGATAGACCACTACCAGGTATGGACTTATTGGGTCCATACCAAGGGCAAATATGTAATTTTGTGCAATATTTCTATGGTAAGTCATCAGATTGTACTACGGTGTAAAAAAAATATTCTCTCTCCTCTTACAATTCTACAATAACAGTATTCAACTCTATGATAACTGTATTAAAATTAACCATAACAATATACAATTCAATAATAACAGTATACAAGTCAATAATAACGGAGCACCGACAATCAACCTCTACCCCCTCATATCCAAAATCTTTCGATCTCTGGGAATTGAACCCACCGTTTTTCATTGCTGCAATTGTAAGTATAGACCTTGAACATTCTTCGTCAACCTTCGGCTATCATCTTTCATCAACCAAACTTCGAATAACTCCTTTAATTTGAATCAACCACAAATTTCTCATCTTCAGTACATCGAGCACTGTATCGCTCCTTGAAGGGAAGATTACTGCAACTTTGATGGGGTTTTTGTGGGACTGATTTTCCGATCACCGGAGCTTTTTCTCGTGAGTGGTAGTTTTTTGAGTTCCTGTTTTTTCACCCTCTAATCCTTCTTCCTTTTCCATTTTGTTTTAGCTTTTTAAATTTTACAATTTTTGTACGTATTTTTTTATTGTGGTATGGACTCCAACTATCCATACCTGGTAGTGATCTATACTTACATATTCCATTCTAACCACTAAAATATACACTAAAAAGTTATATATAAGTCCACCTTTATTGTATATACTAATATACCTATGGACAATGGGGGCCAGCCTTTAAAATATAAAGGCGTCAATTGGGCCATCGGGGCCGAGCCTCCACCAGCCTTATGTTATGCAAAATGCATACTGTCGAGTCATTCAAAGTATTATCTTTTTTTGTGTGTACCCGATTCACCCCTTTGGGCAAATCCAGATTCGAGGATCAGTTCTGGGTGGTTAGGCTCCAATCTCTTCCCAACTGTTGTTGCGAACACAAGTTGTTCCTACCAAGTGTAGTCCTAATCCCCACTACACCAATATCTAATTGGTATATGCATATGTAGTATAGTAGACATCAAGAATGTTTTGTAACTAAACTGTATGTGTCATTACGTATTGTTGGCCTAATTGTACAAATAAGCCGAAGAAGTGTTAAGTCCTAAACCATATTGTTAGCTTACCTTAATATTTAGTTGGCTCCTAATAATTCTTACCACCTCATTTCAGTGGTGGAGCCAGAAATTTCTAACCGGAGAGACGATAATTAAATATCACATAGTTTGATAATAAATAATTTAAAAAATTGAGCACATAGCTAGATAGTTAAATAATTAAAGCTTTAACTATTACATAAAGTATTCTTGAGTTTCTTTGATTTGGAGGATAATCCCTTATGTTAATGACTTAATTCTTTCTCAAGATCATGAGGAAAAGTTTAACATCATGTTACGGATATACCAATTCTTCCTCCTTCTATGGTACATTATTAGTACTCGAAGTACCTATTTTGGAGGGAGCTAAATGAATGGGCTAAACTATAGAAGTTTTTTTTTTTTTTTTTTTGGTCTTGCAATATTGAATTACTAGCACTATATGAGTGATGATAGGACATGATTAGAAATCTTGTCAATGATCAAGTTATCAAATCAACAACACACATATACTCACTTTGCTTCCTACCATACTTACCAAATGATTTGGGATTATTTGACTTCGAAGTAAGTTAATAAGAACAAAATGTGCCAAGTTTAGTGCAAAAGTACAAACAAACAGAAAATGACTTTGCTACTTTTGTATAGAATAAGAATAAGATGTGATATTAAACCAAGGGATATGAAACCAATATTGAATAAAGATTTATTTATCATAATATAGAATTAAAAGCTCATCATACTATAATATGTCTATGGCCTGCCATATTAATAATTAAAATTTAACTTTCCGTGAACACAGCAATGTTGGACCCACGATCCAATCGACCGTTTAATTCATAATTATGACCGTTACAAACCCCAAAAATTCAAAAATTTAAAAAGCCAACATTGACCACCCCATTATTTTACTATTTCCACACTCATTTTTATCCTAAAAGTAGAAAAACTAGCAGCTTTGGTGTGTCATAAGTAAAAAAGGAAGTGCACATAACACTTTAATCCTTGCACATTTCAAATTCAACTATTTACAGCCGTCCATGACCCACCAACCAACGGCTCAGATCACTCCCAAACTTTCTCTCACCAAAACTCACATAATCTTGAACATGCTCCCCTCTTTCTAATTCAATCCCTCTAAAATCTCCTCTCTTCTTCCCCAAAAACCCGAAAAGATTCGAGCTTTCGACCGATTTTTACATCTGGGTTAGCAAGAAGATCAAAAGGGTATGTTTAGATTGTGACAAGAAAAGGTTATAACAGTTAAAGAAATGCCAGTTTCAACAAGATCTCAGATTTTTAATACAGAAGATGAAAATGGAGGATCAACAACAACAGTAACAGAGCAAACAGAGAATAGTAAAATGGCGCATGCTTTGAGAAACCCTCATCATGGTTTGAAAGAGAAGTTGAAGAGTTTAACTCTTCTATATGAGCAGCAAAAATCATCCTCAATTGTTTCTAAAAATCATAATTTTAAACCCCAAGATCAGAAATTTCCTCCAATTCCAGCTCTTGATCGAAATGGGTCAATGAAAATCGAAGAAATTGATTCAAGAAAGCAGAAATTCCCTCCAATCCTACCTCAATATCGACCCGATTCATCGAAAAAAGAAGAAAAGGAAGCAATTGCAGCATCAATACCACCTGCAACAACTGAAAAAAGTCCAGTGATGAAAGAAAATTCAATGCCCAATGCAACAGTGACAAAAACCTATGTTATACCCCAATCCCCAAATTCAGCATTGGATGATGCTAAGGAGAATGCTGTGGCAGCCAATGGGGATCGAATAGTCGGGTTTACGTGCCCTCGAAAGGCGCCTGTTTCGAGCACGGTGGCAAGGAAATTGTCACTGGGATCACAAATGGAGACAAGAAGGGAAAGAAAATTGTCATTAGGCCAAGAAATGGATCCCCTGTTTCAAAAACAGAGTAATAGTAGAAATAGCAGGATTTTGGTGTTTGTTAGGCTTAGGCCTATGATGAGAAGAGAGAAGGAAGCCGGGTGTCGTAGCTGTGTAAGGATCATCAATCGCCGAGATGTTTATTTGACCGAATTCGCTTCGGATAACAATGATTATCTCAGGTTGAAGAGATTGAGGGGAAGACATTTCACATTTGATGCTTCTTTTCCTGAGTCAGCTTCTCAGATGGATGTTTATTCAACTACGTGAGTTTTCATGATTAATTTTTTAATTTTTATTTCAATTTCATATGAATTCTTGATGATTTTGATGTTTTGGTTGGTTTTGAATCCATTTATTTGCTATTTTTATGTTAATTTCTTGTTTTTCCTCCAATGTTAGAAGTCTTTGATGTTAACTTGTCAACAACTAGCTAAAAAGTGTTAGTTTTTAATTTAGTTTGTTCAATTTGATGATTACATAATTAGAAAGAAATTGTCTTTGTTATCAACGTGCTCCCAATTTGGTTTGGTTAAATTAAGTAATAGTTTAATATTAGCAAAGAGTCAATGTAATCATAGATTAATTTATATATTTAGAGTATCATTATTTTGACCAATCATGGAATAATAATATCTATAACACGACGAGTAAAAGTGAATGTAAGAGTAAAATGAAGCACTAATACTTAGATTACTTACTACAATGTTTATGAGAGTGGTACTCACATATCAAAGTCTTAGGATATGTACTAATAAAATTCATTTACACAAGGTTGTTTCTTTAGGATGAAATTTTAGCAGCATGAAATTTGAAACCTTAAAAATGTTGCAATTCCAGAACAGCAGATCTCGTCGAAGCTGTGTTGCAAGGGAGGAATGGATCAGTGTTTTGTTACGGTGCTACAGGAGCCGGAAAAACATATACAATGCTCGGAACAGTAGAGAGTCCAGGGGTAATGGTGTTGGCAATCAAGGATTTATTTACCAAGATTAGGCAGAGAAGTTATGATGGTAATCATGTTGTACAACTATCTTACTTAGAGGTTTATAATGAGACTGTCAGAGATTTATTGTCTCCTGGAAGACCTTTGGTTCTTAGAGAAGATAAACAGGTAATTTTTATCTGTCTTTCTGTTGTTGCATACTTCATGCACTGTTTTGGCCTAATGTATTATGTTCTCTTGTTTAAACTTGTAGGGAATCATAGCAGCTGGGTTATCACAGTATAGAGCCTATTCTACAGATGAGGTGAGTCTTTTTCTTGCTATAGCTTTCATACTACTTGCCAAGTGATTGAGAAATTACTAAATTGTGTTTGAATGTTACAGGTAATGGCATTACTTCTTCAAGGAAACAAGAATAGGACTACTGAACCAACTCGAGCTAACGAGACATCTTCCAGATCCCATGCTATATTGCAGGTAACTACATCAGTACTTTTGCCTTTTCAGCTTCTTCTAGCTTTGCTTTGTTGAAAAATGCTGATCAAAACTTTATCTGAATTTAGTGTAACTCATACTAAAGTTGTATATTGATAATAGGGTAGCCCTTATCTGAACTTATTTTTCCTATTTGTGAGGATGTTATATTGGAAAATGATCAATTAAGTGTTTATTTTGTGGGATACAAATTCTACTACTAGTAACTTGAAGAGATCAATGACATAATGAGCTGCATTGTGCAGGTTACAATTGAGTATCGAACAAGAGATGCTTCGTTGAATGTAATCAATCGCATAGGGAAGCTATCATTGATCGATTTAGCAGGCTCAGAGAGAGCCCTAGCTACAGATCAGAGAACTCTGAGATCAGTAGAAGGTGCCAACATTAACCGTTCACTTCTTGCACTTAGCAGCTGCATCAATGCCCTTGTAGAAGGAAAGAAGCACATACCATACCGAAATTCCAAGCTCACTCAACTTCTCAAGGACTCTTTAGGTGGAGCTTGTAACACGGTTATGATTGCAAATATCAGCCCTAACAACCTTACTTTTGGTGAAACACAAAATACCCTTCATTGGGCTGATCGAGCCAAGGAAATTCGGAACAAGGTACTCAGATTTACATTACTGCCTCTATTTTCGTTGCAATTAAGAGAGTGATTGTACCTTCTTGGATATGAAAGTGTACATACAGTTAATGTTAGTCAAATTAAAACGACATATACTAGCTAATGAGCATAATGAATTAGAAAATGCAAGAGAATTTTAGCATATGTCCTGATTGGTTCTGTATGATTTACAGGGATATGAAACGAATGAAGAGCTGGTACATTCTGATGCTGATCAGGCTAAACTGCTACTCGAAGTACAGAAGGAAAACCGGGAACTTCGAGTACAACTAGCAAGGCAACAGCAGAAGCTATTAAGTATTCAAGCTCACTCCTTAGCTGCTAATGCCTCACCAACTCCTCCTTCTGTTAGGTCTATTCTTACTCCTCCATCCAACAAGCAAAGGTCAAGGACTCCATTGCGAACAACACCAGAACCAAACAAAAAGAAGGAATCTGAAGAAGCTGTAAGGGAACTACAATTGGTGGTGAAAACATTAGAAGGAGAGATGGAAAGATTGAGGAGAGATCATGCATTGCAACTAAAGAAAAAGGATGAAAAAATTAGGGAGTTAACTGCGAAATTATCCAAAGGGGTGAGACGGAGAGATGAAGGATTGAAAAGCATAGTCACTAGATCAAGCTTAAGGTCAAAGGAAGCAAACACAGAAGTAAAAACTTCTAGTCATAGGTTTTTGTCTCCTGCACCAGCGGCGAAGAAAAGGAGTTTTTGGGACATAACAACAGCTAATAGTCCTTCAGTCACTACCGTGAATGGAAGAAAAACAAGAAGCCATGTTAATGCTGATCCTACTGCTCAACCTTCCATGCTTCTTCAGGTATTGTTATTCAAATCTCCTGAAGAATAGTATAAGAAATTATGTAGCTTAGAACAGAATTCTCAACATACACTAGCAAATCTGTGCTAACTTGTAGAAAACAACCACCTACATTCAACTTTTCATCAAAAAAAAAAAAATTCTCCATGTTAATCAGATGATTTAATTCCTTTTTCAACTAAAGCTATAATCAACATATTTGCTAATATACAAACCATTTCAAAGCTAATCTGATAAAAATTACCTCCTACATCAAACTTTTCATTTAACCTCCAAATTCTCCTTTTTTGAAATTTCAATTAACCTTTAAAAGGGATGCTTTATTATAACAAGAAAGAATTTGCAAAAATTTCCTGAATTTATTTTTCTGTGTATTAGTTTTTTTCTTTATTCTGCCACTGATGCAGCTTAAACATCCATGTATCTGGTCTGTGTTGATCCTTGGACTGCACATCATCAATTACAATCATACAGCCAGGTTTTGCTCGACAAAGGCTTAGTCCCTACAGGCAGTGACAGAAAACAAAGAAAACATGATGTACAGGAAAGGCGCGCCTTACTGATCTCAAGGTCAGATCAGGAATACATTCAGCTGGCAATCTGTTAGTTGGTGGTTCAAGCCAAAAGAAAGAAAAGTCCTCAGTTTGCCTGCTGTTTCTGTTTTCTTTTTCGACCATGCTCGAAGGAAGAAAACAAACAAACGAACGAACATACAAACAGGCCGGGCTAGAGAAGGAGCTATAAAGAATCATGTGAGTGGTTCAGCAATACTGCTGCAGATAGTTTACTAGCAATGAAGCCATTGCTTCAGAGAATTCCTGAAAAGAACACAATCATTTTTTCATTCTTTTTTATTATGAAAATTTGTTATGGTTTTCTCCTATGTCAATGGCTTCTATATTTGTTATTGTACTAGAATTATGTTGAACTTTCTTGTTGTGCTACCATGTCCATTTACAGAAGGACAGTCACTTTGAAATGACAGTAGGATAATATAAAACTGCTACTGTAGAGGGTTTTTTTTTTTTTTTTTTTATTTGATAAAGTTATGTAAGATTCTTTATTATGAGATGTTGAAGCAAAATGAAAAGTAATTTTCTGAAGCTCTTTGTTTGAAATAAAGCAGTTGCTCCAAATGGCTCTAGGTCTCATGTGAAGACAACAAGAAAATCATTTATAAAAAGTGTGTAATTTTGTTTCAAGAACAACAAAAGTTGAAGGGTGATTCAATTAATAGTTACCTCTTTTCCTTATGATAGTAAGTCATGAGATCAAACCTCATTAGAATGGTGAGATCATGTTAAAATACATAAAATTTACCTTGTTAAGATCATAAAATATTTCAAATTTAGTGAGGGATGCTAAAAGATGAAAACATGAAAGAATTTTTAAACTTAAGTTGGTGAAAGGGTATAAAATAGTGTGAAAGTGCAAGAATTAAGCCTAGTTGATTTTGGCATTCCTTGGTAACACCTGAGGGCTTGTTTGGTTCATCTTATTTTTGCTTATCTAATATGGTCTGATCTAAACTTATTTTTTCTAATCTAATGAGTATTTACGGGACAGATGAGAGTGAGGGAAAAGGGTAAGGGATTCTCACCCTTAAAGTGTCTCTAGAAAGGTACAATCCTTACCACTAGACCAAGCTTCCTATTTGCTTATCCAAAATACGTTTCCTATCTGCTCAACTAATATGAACGCTAATCCTCATTTTGTAAATATTGTCATTAACACTTTTAATCAAAAGCAACATGTACTTATCCAAAAATAAAGAATGAGAATGCAACATTTTTGCTCAACTAATATGAACGCTAATCCTCATTCAGTAGACATAGTATGTAGGCCAAGTGAAGGCCCAACTGCTTTAGAAAAATTAGTGTTATTGACTTATTGTCGTTAGTCTCATTACCTGTTGTTGTAACATCTTTCACTTCAGCCTACGATTATATGTATGGCCCCTTTAAGCCACACTAGTCACTACCAGGCTCTTAAGTGGATCCCATTCCATGAGGGAGATTGTATGAGGGATTATGGGATGGGCCATGGGCGGATGGCTTAGCTTAGTTGGTTAGAACATCACTTTTGATTTTTGAAATAATTAAGTTTTGTCTTTGATAAGTGGAAACCTCTTTTATCTTTCTCAAATCATAAAATATTTTGACTTTTTAAGCAAAATAGGGCCATGATCTTAGAACCAATATTACTTGATTCGATATATATGTGATTCGGTATGAGTATACAATTCGCTACCTAATTTTGTTAGCTTGGGGCATGTTCTCTTCAGCTTAATTTCAGTTCTGTTCAGTTTCTAAGTTCTTTCTCTTATAAACAATTCATTTCAGCTTAAATCAGTTCAATTCAGCTCACTTCAATAAATCAGAACAGGTCCTTAGCCCAAAAAAAAATAGAGGGAGGGGGGGCTAGGTGGGGATGAATTAGGTAACACTGTTAATGCTTAGTTCTATGGTTTCTAATGATTAGCTAATTGACTTCTTTGCTGTACTTTAAATTAGGAAAATTAATGAGAAATTGAGATACTTATTGCACTACTTTTGTCGTTTGGTTTTCTAGTTTCCTACTCTCCTTAGTGATAACAGGCCTCACACTTAAATCTTCAAGCAGTGCTCCTATTTCATTATTTGTTGATTATCAGCCCCCACAAATCATTATAATTATTTTTTTTTTTGGATGGACAATCATTCATACATCACAAAAGATTTAAAAAAATGTATAGTCATCATTTATTCATTTGTACATTGCATGAGATAAAAACTATTTTGAGAATTATCTGATGCTCCAACAACTAGCCGCTATCGCTATCGCTACCACTACTACTACTTTTTCTGAATAGGGCTTACGGCTTTATTAAAATTAAAAAAACATTTAATGGTTAGTCAAGGGGAGTCTTATGTCCTATTCTTTTAAACTGAATAGAATATATTACAGCGGAGTAGAACAGAACAAAACAGAGCAGTTCTAAAGAATAGAGTCTTAATCTTACTTTAAGATATGTGAATAAGAGTTAAGCATTGATTAAAACAATAATTGTCGGAAACAAAGGCCAGCCTAACATTTGTTTTTTGCAGGCAACCAAGAAGCTTTTGATCTTGGAAGAATGATGAGAAGATCATCATCAGAAATACATCCTCGATTATTGTGCAAGTTTTTGATCACTTTGGATTACTTTTTTCTCCAAAATTTAGGCCTACTCTAACACAATAGTCTCTCTTTATTTCCACTTTTCCCTACCTTTGTTTCTTTGTTTTCTTTATTTAAACTTTGCCTTGAGAAAACTCTCTACTCGAGAGAGGTTTTAGTGTTTTACATCAAATTCATCAAAGCCCTTAAATGAGGATTAATTAAGAATAACAACTTGCTAATTTAAGTGTATGAGCTTATCATAACACATACAAGTAAGTACATGATTAATTATATAAATAACAAATAACAATAGCATCCATTACCAAATTGTGTCATAATATAACTAAGGGATATGATTAGGAACAACTTGGTAAAGCTATTAGATATAATGGCTTATCATTCATTCTCTCTTATGATATTTAATTATATTGTAGATTTTTAATGGTTGTTCAAAGAATATTTTATCATGTTTAATCAAACTTCTTTTATGAAATTTCCTTATTGATTATAAGAAAAACTAGTTTTGAATCTCATGAATATATAAAAGTTAAATTAGGTATGCCAAGGAGTATGAAATAGATAATGGGTTGAAATAATAATTTGATTACAAATTATATCCTTTTGTGATTCTCCATGATTGATTCTCATATAAAGTAAACTATGAAACAATAAATTTTTTTGAAACCCTATTATATTCTCAATTAGTATTAAGTTAATATTTAAAAATTCATATGGAGAGGATATTATTTTACAGAAAAATAAATAAATTTGCCTATTTAAAATCTAACCAGGACCTTCAAGAGGCTTATCATTAGCAAAATTATTGATTCCCGATGAAAAACTATAAATATTACAAAGTCTTCCCAACCTCTTTTTTTCTTTTGCTATCACTTTTACAAAGTTGTAATGCACATATTTATTGAATCTTATATTGTATTGAAAAATAGACCTCTCAAGTATTACCACATGTAAGTATCCCACATTGGTTGAAAAGGAGAAAGTTAAACACTTTATAAGGCAAATGGGCTACTCCTTCTACATAGTATTATCATATGATTTTGGGATGAAACCTTCTTTAGACTTGTGAAGTGGACTCTATCTTTCTTGGTTTGCGGGTGTGGCTCAGACCCATATCTAAATGGTATAAGAGCATGAGAGGGAGAGTGAAGAAGCACTCTAGCCAGCCTGAATCACATGTAAGAGTTTCACATTGGTTGAAAAGGAGAGAAGGCAACGGGGCTACTCCATCTATTGTCATATAATTTTGAAATGGAACCTCCTTTGGACTTGTGAGGTGAACATATACAATAACTTCAATATAATTACATATCATTTAAAAAAAATGATATTTTAATTGAAAGCTACACATTGAGAATCAAACAAAATCACATATGATAATGTTTTTTCTTATTTAAATTTTGCTTTAAATTCCATTTACCATTGGATTTTTTTAACTTTATAAATCAAACAAGAATAACTACAAAAGGAAAGGCACGACTAAGATGTTTTCCCCCTCTTCTTATCTTGAGTGTTGTACTAGTTGACATTAATATGCACTAAGTCATTAAGTATTATCATATGATTACTAATTATGTTAAAAATATGCTTTGAATCACTAATCATATTAGGTTTAAAGATTGATTTACTTTTCAAAAGATTATATATATATATATATATATATATATATATATATCCACCACATTCCATTCAGTAGAAATCAATAATAATCTTAACCGCCAAACTTTAGCTAAAATTGGGCATTGTAGTTAGTTAGAGAAGCGATAGTATAGCTAACTTTGGTCCCTATTTCACACCAAAATTCAATAGAAACTCACCCTTAACTGCCAACGGTCCAACATCCATATTTTTCTTGATCCACATATAGACATTTTAACTAACCTTAGTTTCACAACTAATTAAAAGATCACAATTAAGTTTAAACATCAGGATTTTTTTTTTTTATTAACACCACTAGTTTTGTGCACCGTGCGATGCCTGGATTGTTTATTGAATTTTAAGATAAATTTATAATTTATATATGTCAAAATTTAAAATATACTTGGTATCATTGATACAAAATTAGTTAGGAATTGATGTGTTTTTCTGACGATTTGCTATCTAGTAACCATTTAATACATTAAAAAATAAAATAAAAATTAGCAAAAAATAAACTAAATAAATTAAATGTTCAAAGCACGTTGGATTGACCCGAACCCAAAACTTCGAGCAAAGGTTGAACATTTCTTAACTCGTAACTTGAAGTGACCCAATCTGAGATGACTCATGACCCAACCCTAATTGACAGGTATCCATTCTATTAGATTGTGAAGTATATAATTTTAACCGATTAGTATATCCCGGCTTGATTTTATCGTTTTTGAATTTTTTTTCAATTTTATTATAATAAGTTTGTATGCAAAAAATAAAATAAAAAATAAATAAATAAATAAAACTTTGCATTATATACAAAGTATCAAAGGGTATGTAACACATTAGACCACCTAATGGCAAGATAGGACACTCGTGGTTGCTCAGAATTTGTTTGTAGGAGTCTGTTTCCGCATAATATAGTACTTTTAGTAGATTTTGATTTATAAAATTTATACAAACGTTTTCCTTAAGAAAAGTACGAAGTATTAAACTTCACTTACAAAAAAGAGAAGAAATTTGGTTTAAAAAAAAAAAAAAGAAGAAGAAGAAGAAATTTGGCTTATGCCTAAGAGTAAAGTCCACCCTACTTAAAACTTTTGACCGTTATACGGGAGCAAAAACTTGTTTAATTTGTCCATATAAAGTGAATTTTTTTATTTTCTTAAATCATACAAATATCAATATTAGACAAGCTGAGTAATTTAACAACAAACCTAGGTGTCTTGCTTCTTTATCTTCCTTTTGTCTCTTTATAGATTTGTTTCAACTTTAAGATTTTTCTAGGCTAAAAATAGCACAATTTCTTACTTAACGAAGGCTTACCAAATTGGGATCATTTTTAATTGACGAAACTAGATTTTTGGCCCAAGAAACCAAGTTATGCCCCAAGTTAATACATGTTTTACTATAACTGTGCATGACATGCATGTATAATTCAATCCTACTATTGTTGATTTTTGTTAAGTATGTTATTTATGTTGTAGTTAATTAATTTGTTTATAAAAATTATAAACAACATATATTGTGACATAGTTTAATACTCCATAATTAAGTTTTTAATGTTTAATTATATTGAGGTCAAGAGTTCAATTCTTGTATACACCATATCTCTACTTTTTTAATGTATAATGATATGATATTATATATCCAACAAAATAAGGTCGGGAGAGTGTCACGGGCATGCATGTTGATTTAATTCAAAAGGTTTTCTAATAGATATTAATATCTCATATTACAGATATAGTCATATAGATTATAATAATGTTCGAGAGTTCAATTTCTTTTATAAAACCAATTTTTTTTAATATATGATGATATGAAATTATAGCCAGCAAAGAAGACCGGGAGAGTGTCATGTGGTACGTTGACTTAATTCAAAACGTTTTTTTTAATATATATTATAGATATAGATTATATTAATGTAAGAGACTTCCTACCAAACCTTTAAATTAATTATATATACAATAACCTTTTTTATTTGAAGCCAATATATACAATAACCTTACATAATTAATCTAAGTAATGAAAGTTAGATTGTTAATTAAGACAAAATACACAAAAATTAGCTTAGGTCAATCTTTCTCAAGACTAAAAATCCAAACGCAATGAGATGTAATCCCTCAAATCCGTTTCGGATTAATCACAACACTAGTTTTGACACATAGTTTAAGAAGAAATATAGGAAAGAGACCAAAATAAGGATTTTATAATATAAATTAGAGTGTGGTGGAGTTACGTTAAGTTGGGTTTGAGAGATAAAAGTAGAGTAAGTGAGAAACAGGCCGGGAGATAAAATTAATACTACCTAAAATAAAAATGCGTCATTTGACCTTAATTACCAAATAAAGAATCGTTACAATTAATCAGAAATGGATGGGGAAAAAAAAAGTGTGTCTAATTATTATGAAACAGATGAAGTATGCAAGACATAGGTATAATGTATTGTGTTATACCTTATGCACCATACAACCATACCTTGATGATCATAGCACTAAAATGTTAATATTTCAATCCTAATATAAATTAATATAACTATTATTATTATATATGATAAGACGTGCACCACCTAAAACTTGCTAATTAGTTTAACTTAGGAGCAGAAAGCATAACTAATTAAGTGTTCAAATTGTGTTCCACCACCTTAATTATTTGGGAAATAGATGATGATGCTCCTAATATAAATAGACCAAAACCTTGGACAAATCTACTCAAAGGGGCGTTAAAGTATATGAATTGGCAGTCAAAAATGGGAAAGCACAATATTCTGGTTACCCCACTATTATCAAGATTGATATTTTTAATCTATTTTTTCTTTCCTAAACTGCTACTAATTGCTTTTGTGAACTTTCATGATTACACATTTACACTTTAGTTTCCTACTATTACTATTTTATATGTCTCTCGGGACTATATCTTCACACAAAACATACAATGCTTCTACTTAACAAAGAGAGGGGGAAAAGTGGATGGGAAAATATATTTATCTGGAGATGTTATTAGTTTACAGGAGTTTAATACTTATATTGATTATTTATATATGATAAGAGATGGTTACACATGTTGTATGTCTTTTATATTTTAATGAAATCACTCCTGTAAAACTATGGAGATGTTTGAAAGTAATAAAGTGGGTATATGGTAAGAGAGACAATAAAAACTACAACGCGAATAAAATTCATCATGTGAACAAACAACTTAAGAAATATCCAATGTATATTTAGTTTTTGCTTATTGAAATGAGATGTTACTTAAAGATAAACAATGCAATATTTGTGAAACTTCTTTATAGGTGAATATAATACTCGTATTATTTTCATATAGATGGAGAAAGTATGATATTTACAAGGCTAAACAAAAAGCTAAAAATCATACTATTAATTTAAGTACATTCATGATTAATTTTTTCATGCACTCCTAAATTAATACATGTATAAATTTAAGGTTGTATTTGAGAATCTAAACTTTTTTTTTTTTTTATCCTTTCTCTCTTTTAAGGCCAATTGTAAAATTATAAAATAAGAAAAATAAAATAAAATAATATAGTTATATAGTTGGATCAATGGACATTTCTTCAACCAAGTATTGCCATATTATGAGTCTTTTTAAAAGTAAGTCTAGTAGAGCTTTATTAAAGGATACATTGCACTAAATCCTGCAATATTTGAAAATATTTTCTGCAATTGATTAGCTTTCTCCAAGAAAATTTCTTCAGTACTGAAAACAATTATTAAAAGTTGGAAGCACTTATACTCTTTGGATCCAACCCCATAATTTAAGTGATGTTCAACTTAAAGGTTTAAGCCGTCCTCTCTTAGGAAAGACAATAATGAACAATGAAAGAAGTTATCACAATAGGCTTTTTAGATTTTATATAATATATATAAAAATCATCACCCTTTAAATAAGGAAAATAAACAAAATTTGCTTCATTTTGTCCGAAACATACAAACTGTCGTTGATAGTGTAATTTAAACTAGATATAGGGTACGGAGTATTAAAGAACTTAATTCAGACAAGAACTAATTAGGTACCAATAGTTAAGTAGCTCGTTTTCAATATGATTCCTTTAATTTGACATGGTCTCTTGAACAACTATTATCTAATGGTCATAATTGTCCCGTACCAATCATTAGGTAACATGAATTATAGATGATTCAAAAACTAGAAGAGAGAGACCATGCTAAGAAGAATATTGCTATTTTTTTGTTTTTTCTTACAAATAAAAATAATTAAATTCCTGGTATATTAACCAAATCTAGACCAAAATTACATCAAGAACCATCAAAACAGTATTGAGTGATGTGTAAAGCTAAACCTTGTTACTCACATTTCTAAGACTAGTATCTTTATAGAAATTACAGTACTTCAATTTTATTTTTTTCCTCATAGGTATATGAAAATCAAATAATTTTATATAATTAATAGATAATTTCAGTGAATAATTTACTACTTGAGTATATTGTTCAAATCGACATCACACTATCATAAATCATTTTCTAGATACCACGACAAAAGTACAATACTCCTTTTGACCTTTAGTTGAAATTTAATCATAGATGTGTGTAAGAACAATGCTTAAGACGTGATCTCATTTAAAACTCACTTAGATAAATTAATTTCCGCAGACAAAAGTTGATATAGCAACTATGCAAAATTGTTACAGTGAGAATTATGAAGCATACAAAAAGACCATGTTCATAATATAATATACCAATTGGAGAGTTGCATTGCATGAAAGATCTTACATTGAGTTAAATTGACCACCATGCCAATAATATACCAATTTCCCTTCTTTTTTTTTTTTCCTAGTATACCATTACATTCCACCCCCAAAAAGCTAACAAAATACAGTAAAAACCCCAATTCTCCAATTTTTTTTTTATACCCAAACTTAAAAAACAAATAAATTAACCAAAAAAAAAAACATCTTGTTAACTAGACTTCTACTAATCCCCACCCTATTAACAACCTCTTAAAACCTAACAAATTTAGTAACATTACAACTTACAATAATCTTTTCACATAAACATTTTTTTTTTCGTCTTTCCAAGTAGGAGAGGTTGTCATGAGTTTCCATTATACACCCGAGTGTACCCGTGCTCTCAGACTCGGAGCAAGTAGATGCTAAGCTCAGGAGCACCATGACAATCAGGATTCATCATATAGAAAGCTTCAGAATCCCTAGACCCTACAACCCTCTCAAACTGGGCCCTCATATACATAAGCTCACCTTCCGAACCCGACCCGGACCCGTTAAACCCAGGAAGAACACCTGCACCCATTGAAATGGGCTCAACAGCCTTTAAAATCTTAGCCTCATTAGGCCCAATTTCTCTTTTATTAGCAAACCCACATTTCTTTCCATTACAATAAGTCCTCCAAACTTGTTCTTCCAACAATCTCTTCCTCCTCACCTTCTTCCTCTTCTCATGCTCTTGAGATAATTTTTGTGATTTCTCTTGTTCTTGTTGATCATCTTTATCGCATTCGAGCGCGATACGAACCAATCCAGATGCCATCTCCTTGACGAGATGGGTTATCTGGGTTGCGAGCTCGATGAAAAAAACAGGGGCGGAGTTATGTTCACGTTGAAACACAAAATGAACATGACCTTTTCTATACCCAAACAAAGTTCCTATAACTTTAGGGCATGACCCTAAATTTGGGAAGGTCGAAGGTGAAGATTTGTTGATGTTAAGGGCAGTAAGAACTGACCTTATTCTTGAAACAGCAATAGCTTGTAATTTCCTCCTTCTTCTAGCTGTTGATGATGCTAAACTTTTGTGATTATCATCACTAATTATGTCATTAAGAGGATGATTATTAATAGTGTCCTGTTTTCCCCTGTTTTCCTCTGTTTTAAGGGTAGTTTGATTATTATCTAAAGTATCATCATTTTGGACTTTCCTTGATGATGACCAAGGGAAGTTGGCTTTGGACATTTTGAGAGGTGTTGGAGATGGTGGTGTTGGTGTTGGTGTTGATGTTGTCTTCATTTGGGGTTTTTGTAAAAATGGTTTTTTAGAGAGAGAAATTTAGAGAGAGAAAGAAGGGATTGAATTCTAAAAGAATAATAAAGATACTACTACAAGTAGTAGTAATGTTTTAATGAGGGAATTGAATTTAAGTTTTTGGGGTGGTGGGGGAAATTGAGTTGCATTTACTAGTATTTTGATATGGGGTAGTAAAGAGTAGAGAAGAGTAAAGAGAGAGTGAGTGAGTCATCTTTGGGGCTCTTTGAGGGCTTTTGTGGTGTAAAAAGCATAAAGTAAATTCCAAAGTTGCCCCCACCAAAAAAGAAGTCCGGTTTGAGAATATATGAGGATCAACAATTGAATTGAATCATGGGATATAGTACTAAATTCTAATGATAAGAGGAGCATATTGTATAGTTGATCTACTATTAAAAAGAAATAAATAAATGACAAAGATGTGTTTTAGATTATGAATTTATGATATGTCTTACTTTTTCCATCCCTTAATTATATGTCTATTTCTCTATATTATGTAAGTAATAAATGAAATAAATAGGCATATAACTAAAGGACGGAAGGAACTATTTTATCGGTTTGAATCCAACAAAATTATGACTCGAGTTAGTCGGTTAAATAGTTTGAGAATAAGGAGGATGAGTGTCAACGTGTCATACATATTCTCATCTACAAAATGTGCGAACTCTGGTAGCCTTGTAGGAATTGTACTCCCTTAACTAAGACTGGAAATGAACATCCTTATCAATAATTCAAATTTAGCTTGGTATTTCATATACCTTACACTGTTTTGTATGGAGTACATCGAAATGCATTTTCATAATTGTGATCGATTACATGCTCTATATAAAAAAAATGTCAATCAACTAAGTATTTCTATTTTAAGTTATCAAAGAACTTCTAAATAATCTTTGATATATAAGTTTTATAATAAACCTAATATATATATACATTTTTTTTACATGAAAATATATATATATTAAGGGGGCGTTTGGTTCGCAGAGTGGTATAGGTTTGAAATCAGGAATAGGGTTAAGGTGGTATCGGGTTGGAACTTGATACTTAATACCATGTGTTTGGTTCAATTCTAGAATGAAATATCATCCCCTTAATTTTATATATTTGATACCTAAGAGAATGGAATGAGCCAAACCCACCTTCCCCCCAAGGTTTCTAAACCCCATACCTCATGGGTTTGAGGTATGGGTTTAAAAATCATATTCTTGACAGCCAAACATATGGTATGAGTTTTGGTCATTCTAAACCCATACCTAATTCCTATAATCCGCAAACCAAACGCCCCCTAAGAACTATTATGTTTATTTATATTTTATTACAAAGTATTTTATGAATCTTTTTAGAGCAGACTAAAAAGGTTGAGTCCATATCAGATAATATATAACTTCTTATTTTTGTTTACTATTCTTAATTACTTTATATTGCTATTAATATAAGGCAAAAGCTAATGAACAACCTAGAGCGTTGGATAAGATAATTAAAAGTTAATTTGAAATGAACATTAATTACAATATAATGATTGATGCGTGATTTTGGCATGCATTCCTATATTAGTACCATTTTTGGAAATACCTTAAATGCTTATCTAATGCCCCTGAGGCGTTTGTTAGCAAAATCCTTCATAAAACAATTACATAAATTGCATAGTTGAAAAAATACATATTGAGACAAACATAATAAGATCTTACTGCAAAATGTTATTGATAGTATAGTCCAAGTATAATTTAATTAAGAAATCATTTCCAGCCAACACAAGCATACGAAGTAAAATAATTCAAATCTGATAACAACAAAGCTTGATAGAAATCAAACCAAAATACCCTACTTCAGGTGAAGAGAGCATATTTCATTTGAAAAAAAAAATCCCTACTAAAAGCAAATGAGTAAACAATGAGCATATATAATAAATATACCACCCTATAATATACAATTTGTTGTATAATACATATCTTAGTTATGTAATGTATATTTTTGTTTGTTATACATTCAATAAAATCTGATTTTAAAAAAAAAAGTCCCTTGATAGTAATTTTTATATAGCCGTAGTAATCAAATCTACCATTAGAGGTTAAATTTTTTCTTTTTTGCTACAACAACCTAGGAATATATTCTTTGGTCTTTACCAAACACCACCCTAATCCTTTTAGTAAAACGGTGAATAATTTAATGAAACGTTTTTAAATATACTACTCTTCACTTTATCACCAATTCACCACTTTTCAAGTCTTTAATACTTAAAAAATATAGATGGGCAATTTAGTCATTTGGAAAGAGGGATAGAAAGCTCTCAAGCCACCACCACTTTCTTTACCTATGACAAAAAATTGAAAATTTTGTTTTTTTTTTACCAAAAAAGTAAAAAAAAAAAAAATCAGTAAAAAAAATATAAAAAAGAAAAGAAAGGACCCAAAAAAATGGAGAGGGGGGCGCAAAGAATGAAAAAGGGAGAGACAAAGGAGAGTGTAACTTCATTTTCTGGTAGGGTACAACTTCCTTGACTACCTCACTTTTGACCTCAATTTTAATTTTCAATTTTTTACAAAAACTAAAAAAGAAAAAAAGAAGGGCAGTAAAAGTAAAATAAAGTTAAGAAGATGAGGTAAGCACAACGTCAGTGTTCATACATGAACTGGCATAAACCCTTAACACGCTCGTTTGTATGCTTCTGTCATTTACGTGCCATGCAGTAAATAAAACAAAACATGATTCATGCTCCTGCATTGTGAGTTTGCGACTACCTAAATTAGAAATATTAAGCATGAATCAAACCATTTATGACAAACTTTTTAAGTATGACTTTGTCAATAAAATTCATTTCTTGTACGAGTAGATGGTTGTATATAAATTTCTTCTCATTTACTCGTATAATTTATGGGTTGAAGTCACCCGATTTGATCTTGTTTGAAAGTAGTCAGATTTACATTTTTTACTTATATGGGCAAAGTAATATAGCATGACTCAACTTCGAATTAGACTTGATATTATTCACCACAACAAAGATAAGACATTATAGCATAACCTCAAAAAAAAAAAAAAAAAAAACCGACCAACCACCTTCTCACCATTTCATCATAGCTACATGCTACATTGCAAAGTAATAATGACATCTAGCTCTTCAGTCTTTTAAGTTCTAATTGAAAATTGCAAAATTCCTCTAAACCCAACCATGATAGTATCTGAGTTTTATTAATGTTTATATATACATTTTTGCCGGTGAAGGTAATAAATTAAACTTGTATTTTCTCTCAAAAATTGATTTACATTGTACTAGTTAGAGTACTCTATAATTTTAATGATACGTAATTAAAGATATTTATAATTGAAATCATGCCTTGCAAGTTGCAAAGCCGTGCAAAATCAAATGTTAAAAAAAAGAATAGTGAACTTAACTTAGAAAATATATTTAGTTACAACACCTAAATCAATTTCAAACAATCAAAGCTATGGATGAAAATCAGAAATTTTTTTTAAAAAAATTTAGATCTTAATATTTAGATTTAAAAAAAATAAAATAAATAAATAAAATAAAATAAAACAAAACATTCTGAATGTGCAGAGAGGATAGATGACGAATGGGGTGTTGGGGGCAGGGAACATCCTCCTTGTTGGATTAGATTCAATCAAACATGCTAAAATTGACATATCATTTGGTTATAGGACATCAATTATGTCATTTTGCTTCTCTCCTTAGATCTTCTGGTCCCACTTTTATGCCATTCTAATTCTAGTGACCATCTTATTTTTCTTGTGGATGGATTCCTTGTGAATAATTTGAATATGACCTCCTTAAAAGAATACAAAATAGTAGAATAATGTTCCATTGTTGTGAAATACTAATGTTTTATGAGATATTTAAGTGATGATATAGAACTCTTCTGCTTGAGGAATCTCATTAAGATGTTCACTGGATGGACGAGGTTGTTGCTATCATTTGAATTTTCTTGGCACGAACGGTGGAACACATATAATCTGTTTGTTTTCAACTATTACATTTTGATTTTAGCACTATTTATACACTCTATTTTGATTGTGTTGTGTAGTACATAATGTGTGTGTGTGGAGTCTTGTACTGTTAAATTAATCTTGATATATAATTTTAAAATATCGACTTTTAATAATTTTTGCTTAGTAATAATTAAGGAAATTTTGAGTTTTACCACCAAAAAATTTCAACAAATTGTTTTTTACCACCTACTATTTTCAATCTTTTATTTTACCACCAAATAAAAAAATTAAAGTTGTTTTTTACCACCTTTACCCAATTCCGGTGACTGAAAAGGGCTGTGGGGCCCACCCTTTTTAATTTCCCTCCAATTTTATTTACACCCACCCCGATTTATTTCTTCTGTTGATTAACCCCAACCAACTTCATTTAATTCCTCTAACTTTCTCACCTTCCTCTCATTTAGTACTCTGAATTTCACTCCTCTTCTCACTCTTATGACCCTAAATTTTCCTCTTCCCATTTGAATTTTGATGTTGCTGTTGGAGTAACGAAGAGGTGGCAGCACAGAAACCCTACAACTCAGCTTCAATTCGTCACTTTCAGCAAGGGGGGACCTAAAGTGTTGGACTTTACTGACATAGATTCGAGATTCTGACAAAGCAAGGTACTTTTAGCATCTTAACTGTAGTTAGTGTGTGTGATTGTGGTTTAATTGTTGATTTTATATGCTAAATATGGGGTGTTGTGGACTTTGTGTTGATTAACCCTAAAATTCGAATCTTAGACATGTGTGGATGCATTATGCTGTGATTACTGTATAATTAAAAATTAGGGTTATATATTGTTGGTATGTGGATTTACCATTGAGTCTGTGGTCAAGCTTTGACCTGATTGATATATTAAGTGTTTAAAGACTTGTTTGCATTGAACACTGTGTAAAGTATCAGTTACATTAATTAATGAATTATTTGGGACTAAATTGAGTTATGTTATGTTTATGTGTTGTGTGTGTAGCAGAATGAACAAAGTCCAACTTAAACTGACATTGGGTGGTGCTTTTATACCTTCTTTAATTGGAAAAAAAAAAAAGAAAAAGAGGCTATTAAGCTGGGATGGGGGATGGGTATACTGGAAGAAAAATGTGAATCCCTCCAAGATTGATGTGCATTTTATAAGAGAAGCTGCTGTCCATGGGTTTGTGTCTGTTAATGTACAAGTCCCTACTAAGTTTAGTTGCTGGTATAGACAAAAGGGGAGGACATTTACAACTGGTAAAAGGGAGTTGGTGAACAGTGAAGAGATAAAAGGATTGTTAGATACAGTGAACAGGGAGGGAGTTATTGAGGTGTTTGTCACAAGTGGGGAACCAATCCAGGCCACTCCCATTACACCTTTTCATATTTATGATGGGAATTCTATGAGTGCAAAAGAAAGAAATAAGTTGAGTAAAGATCCATTTGTGCCCAAATTAAAGCCCAACCCAGTTACTTCCAGCCCAACAATAAAGGCCCTTACTGAAGAACCACTTAGGAGAAGCCCTAGATTATCTGTTAAAGGTAGGGATAAGGTTGATGCAGCAGCTAAGAGGTTTAGTGCTACAGATAAGGGGAAGGGAAAACTAGTTGAAGAGGAGGTGGAAGGTAGTGAGAGGAATACAATAAGTAGGGAGTTGTTTAAGGATGGTGAAGGGGACTATAATCTTTCAGATTTGTCTGATAGTGAGCTTAGTGACCCTGATGTAGATTGGAGTGAAGGAGAAGAAGAGTTTTATGATGCTGTTGATGATGATGAGTGGGTGAGACAGAATACAGAGTTGGTGAACAGGGAAGTGATTAGGTGTTTCAGTGAAGAGAAACAAGATTTGCAACAAAAACAAGCTGGTGCAGGAACTGAGATTGAAAGGCATTTGAGGGAGATTGATATCAGTTTCCAGCAGGAGCAGGAAGAGGATTCTGATGAACTTAGGAGTGTTCATAGTGATTCTGATGTTGAGGAGTTCATAGGCCCATGGTTTAATGGGGAGACTGATTTTGGAAAGCCTATTCAGCTTGTGCAAGGGCTGAGGTTCAGCAATGTGTATGTACTCAGGAAAGCTTTGAGAGTTCATGCTATAGAAAATAGGTATGAGTACTATTTTCTTCATAATGACACCAAGAGGCTGACTATACATTGCAAGAGGAGGTGCAACTGTGTGTATAACAAGAAAACTTGTAGGCTGCCTAAGTGTGTGTGTAGGAAGAGTGTTAAATGTCCATTTAAGGTGTATGCTGCAAGATTGGTGAAGTCAGAAACTTGGCAAATCAAGTCACTGAGATTGAAGCATCTTTGTATGAGAACAAAGATGAATAAGAAAGTTACAGCTGGGTTCTTAGCTGATAGATACTTGGAGGAGTTTAGAAGCAATCCAACTTGGAAGATTAGACAAATACAGGAGAGAGCTTTGACTGATTTGGGAATTAAAGTGAGCTACTTTAAAGCTTGGTTGGCTAGGTGTAGGGCAAAGCTAATTATTTTTGGGTCTTCAGCTGAGCAGTATGCCAAGGTATGGGACTATGCTAAGGCATTAGTGGTGCACAACCCTGGGACTGGTTGTGTGGTTGTTGTAGATGGGATAGAGCAGCCTGAACCCCCTCTTTTTTTGAGAATGTTTGTGTGTCTTGCACCATTAAGGGATGGTTTTGTTAGTGGATGCAGACCAATTATTGGAGTAGATGGCTGCCATCTTAAGGGTGCTTACCCTGGCCAAATTTTAGTTGTTGTAGCTAAGGATGGTAATAACCACATATTTCCACTAGCATGGGCAACTGTGGAAATTGAGAACAAGGACACATGGTCATGGTTCCTTGAGGCATTGGTAGACAGCATTGGAGGTCAAGATGAAGGTGAAGGGTTGACTTTTATGTCTGACAGGCAGAAAGTAAGTTGATAAATTTCCAGGTTGACTTTTATGTTTTTTTAGTTTGAGATAGATGTAGCATACTAATTATTGTGTAACTTTTTTTGTGTAAATGCAGGGCCTGCTAGAAGCATTTGAGAATGTTGTACCTAAGGCTGAGACTAGGTACTGTGTTAGACACATCTGGTCTAACTTCAAACAACAATTCCAAGGATCTCTATTCAAAGAGCTATTTTGGAATGCAGCTAGGGCTTACACTCAGGTATAATAGTTAAATCCTCCTAGTTTTGTTGATTGTGAGTTTCTGGTTTTGGTTAGTTCCATTTGATTTTTACTGTGTGTGTCTTAATTTAGTATTATAATGCATATGGTCAGACTGATTTTGAAGTGGCTATGGAGTCTATAAACTTTTTATCTGAAGAAGCCTATGATTACCTAGAAAATATCCCCCCCCCCCAACATTGGTCCAGACATGCATTCTCCCCAACATGTAAGTCAAACATGTTGTTAAACAATTTGTGTGAGACTTTTAACGCTGTTATAAGGGATGCTAGGGATAAGCCAATCTTAACACAAATGGAATGGCTTAGAAGATACATGATGAAGAGGACCAATGATAAATGGATGGCAGCCTCTGAATGGGAAGGGTTGTGTGTTCCTTATGTGAAAAAGGTGTTTGATGGGTTGGAAAAGTATGCAAGGACATGCACTGTCCAGTCAGGTAGGGGTGAGCTTTATGAAGTGGAGTATAAGGATGATACATGTGTTGTTAACCTTGAAGCAAGGACATGTACTTGTTACAGATGGGATTTGACAGGATTGCCCTGTGTCCATGCTTTTGCTGCTTTGGTGGATAAAAAGGTTGATCCAGAGCTTTATGTCCACCCATACTACCACATAGAGACTTACCTAGCTGCCTATGAGACTCCCATTCAGCCCATGCCTGGAGCCAAGCATTGGGATAAGGTGCATATGAGAGAGCCTATGCCTCCAGCTTTTAAGGTCCAACCTGGGAGACCAAAAGCTAAAAAGAGGAAGCTTGAACAAGGGGAGGGGAGTTCTGCACCTAATTCAGAGAACAAGAAAGTGAAGAGAAGGAATCAATGCAAGAAATGTGGGGGTTTTGGCCATTATGCCAAAACTTGTTCTCTAGATCCTGCCCCTACACCAGTTCAAGTTCAAAACACAGCACCATCAGGAGGTAGGCCAGCATTGGACAACCCTTGGATGAAGGAACAGAGGAGGAAGAGTGAATTGAGAGCTATGAAAAAGGTAAATTCACTTACACTATTTTTGATACTTAGATTGTCATGTGTACTGTACCTATTTACTGATTATGAATGTATGTATACAGAGTGCAGCATTAGGAGCTACTGCAGGACCCAATAGCATTGGAATCAAGAAGTTTCCTCAAGAATTGGCAAAAGAAAAAGCAGCTGAGGCATCTTCTGCTTGTAATGCATCTCAGCCAACTGAGCAAGTGCAGCCTTCTGCAATGGAAGCATCAGCAAGCCAGCCCATGACTAGGAGCAGAACAAAGCTTACTGAAACTTCCCACACCTCAGCCTCTCAGCCTCTTCCCAAACAGCAGAATACTAGGCACAAGTTATCAGTATCAAAGGGTTTACATCAGCATCAGTTCATGCACAAGGATGATATGTGGGAACTTGGCCATGATATGTAATTTACTGCCTTAAATTTGGTTTACTGTAGACAGACAAGTGGTTTTTTTTTTATCAGTTTGCTTAAGTATTTGAACAACTAAGGGTGGCAAGTCCATCATTTTGTGCACTTAACTATTTGGAATGAACAATATTAACTAGGGCAGGAACCCTGATTTTGTAGTATGTTGAACCACTTCTAAAATATAATCTGATCAGCACCTGTTTATAACATTTGCATATGTAATTGGATTCAATTATTTTCATTTCAGTGCATAACCAAATTTTCATTTCATTTCATAACCAATACAACAATAACACAACATCCTTATAAAAATTTCACAATCAATTGTTCCATTCCTAAAACTAAACCAACAAAACAAATAACAACAAACACAACAAACAGATTCATAGATGATGTCTTCCTGCCTTCAACCTCCTGTGTCATCTTTTTCCTATCAGAGCTAAGGGCCTTGCATTTCAATTTCAAGCTATCAATCTCATTCAGCAAGCATCTTCTTTGTCCACAAAAATCATCAACTTCTCTCTTTAAGTCAGCATGCTCACCCTTCATCAACTTCTTATCCAATAGCAAGTTGTTAATTACTTCAGTTTGCCAACTTGTGCCATCTGGTTGATCAATCCACTCAAATGATTTACAGCCCCTTGATTCAGTCACTAGATCATAGAATTTGCAAGATCTAAACTTCCTCCCAGGATTTTCCCTAGTCCAAGAAGTTAACCTTGCAAAGGGTACTCCACATTGGCATTTCCTCTCTTTTGAAGGAGAAAAACTTAAGGAAGACATTCCTTCTGCAAAATGACACTTAGCAACTTCAATAGTAGTACTTAATCACCTTAATTACCTTTCCATACACCTAATTTCTATTAACAATCAGTAACTCATAAAACCCCCAATTTCAATTTTAATATGAACCCTAATTTAATAAAAACTGAATGTGGGTTTCAATTGCTAACTTGTTTTGACCAAATTCTGGATTAATAACCTCTACATGAACGAATGAACAAATTAATTGAATCAATCCTTTTATTTAATCAGCTAATTAAACTTGTGCATGACATACCTTAACTGCTTCAATTCCCACTGCTAAAGCAAATTCGTTTTCAAATCTTTAGATAACTGATGATTTATGGCTGATTGCTTGATGTTATTGCAGTACATTGAGAGAATTGGTATAAATCGAATTTTTGGAACAACAAATGATGAACTAGGGGTTTTATAGGATAGAAGATCGTGATTGAAAAGGGTAAAAATAAAAAAGTATCCGTTTTAGTGGGCCCCACAGCACTTTTCAGTCACCGGAATTGGGTAAAGGTGGTAAAAAAAAACTTTAATTTTTTTATTTGGTGGTAAAATAAAAGATTGAAAATAGTAGGTGGTAAAAAACAATTTGTTGAAATTTTTTGGTGGTAAAACTCAAAATTTCCAATAATTAATTAAAGACGTTAGTGGTTGAATTTGTGCTCTGGAAAGTGTAAATAAATACATATGTCAGTTATAAACAAACGAAAGAAGATAATATCAATGTACTATTCATGTCGTTCCATTTTGTTTGTATTGTGCAATTGAATTTTTTTTGACACATTTTAATGCACTTTGAGCACTACGATGACAACGATTTAGTCATCAATTCCATCTTAAAATTAAAGATTTCACTGTTACAATTTAAGAATCTAAAAGGGAAATTTAATTTTGGGAGATGAAGGATTTTGAAGATTAATTGATAATAGAAATTTCAAAAAAAAAAAAACCTAAAATTGAAGTATTGTTTGAAAAAATTTGTTGCCGGGGATCTCACATATGTCACAAATAACAATAGAGCTCTACTTCCAAAACTACTAAAAAGAACTCTAACTCAAGAGTTGACATGGTAATCTAAGCCTTGTTGGCCGGTATTAGGGGTTGTAAGCTTACACAATCCCTTGTTAGTTGGGTTTGGTGGCCCTTCTAGTAGCCTTGTCGGGGTGTGAATATGTTCCCTGGTGGTTAATACAATTTTCTAGGGGGTGAAGATATTAGCGCAGGTGGATAGGTTACTCTGCATATGGAGTTTGCAGGAGGAGTGTGGTTTTGAGGGAAGAGTTGGTCTTGTTTCTTAGTCGTGGGATGATATGGGCATTCATACAATTGCTATCATCCCTTCGTTAGTTTGGGTGATGACAAGGACAGTTATTGCTATTAATCGAAATTTTGTAGGAGGCTACCCATCTTTGATATTTGGGTTAAGCAAAGTCCTCAATTTTCTTGCATTCTCTGTTGGTAGAGTTGCAAGAAGAGAACATGTATTTGAATGCACGGTTTCTCATAGAGTCGTTAAATTAAATGACTCTATAGGTTATGTTCCTAGACTCCTAGGATGTAGATGAGCTTCTCAACCCCTAGGAGTGGAATGGTGTCATAGGTCTGTTCTTCAGCAACATGATGCATATTTCGGGTTCTTCCGTCTCCCATCTATTTCATCATGAGTTTCCTTTGCTGTCAATGTCAGTTTGGGTTCTCTTCATTGTTTATGATCTGCGCTCTTGGTCCATCTCGACTATTTCAGTTTTTTTGGCTTCTCGTGTTCCATGGTAGGGATGTGGTTCGATTTTTTGGTTGTACGGGCTCCGCAGCTATTGGTTTGCCGCAAGACTCTTTCAATGTTTTGTTCTCTTCGTTCTTCCTGTAGTCTTTTAGGTTGTTTAGTGTTTTGTTATAGGTTGTAATTCCGTTTTTCGTTAATAGAATCTTTTGTAAAAAAATAAAAAATAAAAAAATAAAAAAAAAACAATAGAGCTCTGGACCATTATATTAGCTTTACATTTATATAACATAACAAAACTAATATTGATATATCTAAATTTTAGGGTCCCTAAAATTGGAGTCATGTTTTGTCAATCACTTCGCACACCCCTAAAACCGTCACTACTAAGGGCATGTTCACATTTACTGAATTAAGCTGAACTGAATTGAATATTTTATGAGATAAGGAAATTAGGAGCTGAATTGAACTAAACTAAACTGATAGGAGTTGAACTGAACTGAAATTAAGCTGAAGTGAACAGACCGTTATAAGTTTCCTTTAATTTCACCTTTATTTTCTTTTCACTATTACTTTCTTTTTTTTTTTCATTTATGGTTTCCTTGTACATGTAGTTAGTTTATTCAATTCACCATCAAAATTAGCAAAGCTAAAGGAGGTATTTGTATGTAATGAAGTTTCCATGACACATTGTATTGGCAGAATATATAGTAAGGGATTTTACATCAAGATAACATATATGAGTTGAGTATATAACACACACACACAAAAAAAAAAAAAAAAAGAAGAAGATTAACTTCAATTCTAATAGGACAATTGGCTTAAAGTAAACTAACCTCGCCCAAAAAATGAATTCTAGCCCAATTCTTTAGGATGATTCAAACATTCAAACCTTGTACATATTTCAACACTATTTTCCCATCATTCAAGATGAAAATTAAAATCAAAATTCTAAAACTTAACCTGAACTTGATCTAAGAGTTGCAATGTTATACCAGATGAATCTATTTATAAAAAAAATGACAAATGACCACTAAAATTAAACTCATAATTCTTAATTCAAGGCATAGTTGAAAAAACCTATAATTAACCCGTATGTAAAAAATTGTCATATAGCAACATACCACTTATAAGTTATTTCATACAACTGTTGGACATACAATCAACCAATGATGCCTCACCTCACTTCGTGTACTCAAACTAATTTCATTCCCGAAAGGCAAATCACTGACAACATTGTGATCGTCCAAGAAGTGTACATAATGAAGAATAAACAAGGTTCGAGTGGTTTAATGGCAATTAAGATTGACTTTTAGAAGGTGTACGATCGGCTTCGATGGGAGTTTATTCATGATACGCTTCTCGAATGAAATCAAATTCCCTCCTGTGATAATTGAGGTTATTATGGAATGCATACCAACTTCAAAAATGAAGGTATGTGGAATGGGGAACCGACTCAAGCTTTCAACCCGGGGTCGTGGTATTCGTCAAGGGAATTTATTATCTCCGTACTTATTTGTGCTATTTATTTATGGAGAGATTAAATCAAGTAATTGAAGACTCTTATCATAAAAAATCAATGGAAACCCATTAGAGCAAGTCGACATGGGCCAAAGTTATCAAATTTGTGTTTTGCGGATGATATAATCCTATTTGCTGAGGCTAGTACAGAGCAGGCTTTGATTATTCAACAATGTTTGGCAGACTTTTGTGCGGCTTCTGGGCAGAAGGTCAGCCACGCAAAGTCTAGAGTTTTTTTTTCTCCCAGAATATGGAATTAGCAGCAATGAATGAGATCTCAAATGCACTTCAAATGACTTCGAAACATATTTGGGTATGCCAACAATCACAAGCAGGGTAACAAAGGATACGTTTGCTTATCTATGTGAAAAAGTGGACAAACGTCTCTCGGGTTGGAAGACAAAATATCTGTCGTTGGTAGGGGGGATCACCTTGGCAAAATCTTCAATCTCAACCATTATCTCATATGCTATGCAATCAGCGAAAATTCCAAGAACAATTTGTGACGAGCTAGATAAAAAAGTTAGACCTTTTTTTGGGGGTGGGAATGAAGAAAAGAGGAAAATTCACCTCATATCTTGGGAAACCTTGCAACTCCCTAAAAATCAAGGAGGTTTGGGCATACGAGCTTCAAGAGATACAAATTATGCTTTTCTCACAAAATTGGGTTGGTGTCTCTTAACGGAGCCGAATTCCTTGTGGTCTAGTGACAGGCTCAAGTCGTATTCACCTAATCAAAAATAAAACCTAAATTCACTAACTATGTAGATAGGGAAGAAGGGTCGAACCACAGGGAAACAAGTCAATTTACCCCTAATTAATTAAAAGCAATCTAAATTATCAAGTAACCAAATTATTATAAAAAGGGTAATTAAACTACTAGAAGTAAGAGTAGGAAGGAAATAAAATAAGAGGTAAATCAATGAAGGAGAAACCTAGGGCATAGGTTCACCGATAACCAATATTCAAGGGTAAATCATAATAAGCAATCATCAATGCATCAATTAATCAGATTATAAAGGACTTTCGCTAGGTATTACAATCACAGAGTTAATTTACCAGTATTAAATCTCATCTCTCGAATCTCGACTTAACCATTTATAACTTAGTCCGCCTATTGAAACTAAGCCTAAACATCAATTCTCATCTCTCAATAAATTTCGAATCAATATTGCTAAACTCATACAATTAAATCTGGCCAAACCTAATTGCATAGCATTAAATCAATCAATAAGAAAATAATTGAGCATTGACAATCAACAATCACAAATTATTCCTTCATATTATTTATTGAATCCCCATAAACCCTATAAATAAAACTACTCACGCATAATTAAATCTAAACTAATCAAAACATTAGAGTAAAACATGATGAAAGAATTAAAGAAAATAACTGAAATTAAAAGAGAAGAAATCGTTACCAAAAGTAATCTGAATTAAGGAATGAAATTAAGAACAAAGTTGAGAGTATTTTAGAGAGAGAAAATATTCTCAGTAGAAAGAGAAAGTCTAAAAGAGAAGGTAATTCAAAATCACGTACAAAAATCGTACCTAAACATCCCTAAAACAAATCCTAATTGAAAACTAAGATCTCGGCAATCAGGTGCCTCCAAAAACACGCACCCGATCGGGCCCGCCTTTTTCTTCAAGGTTCTCCTGGGCAACCGCGTCCGATCGGGCGCGCCTTTGCTGATGCCTTCTTCTGCGCACCCGCCCGATCGGGCGCAAGCTTGCCCGGTCTCTTCCTCGAGGCTTGGACTTCGATTGGGCTAGCTTCTACGGCCCAATCCGGATTTCCTCTACGGGTCTTGAATACTTGGTCCAAATGCCCCGGTATCACAAACCGAGCCCTTAATCACCGGCTCTAACCGGTCCTGGGCTTCAAAGAAGGTCGTGTCCTCCTAATGTTCGTAATTGCTCCATGAAAAACCCGGAAAACGCTCCAAATGTGCAATTTCCTACAAAACTCAAGCAAAACTACAAAAACACTAGAAAACACCAATTAGTAATAAAAGTGGTTCTAAAGAGTCAAAAACACTACTACTTATGACCAAGTGACGAGGGTAAAACACTATATAAATTGGACACATCATCTAGTGTATTGAAAGCCAAGTATTGCAAAGGAAGATGTGATATCGACGTGTTTGAATCCAAGGCAAATATGTCTAATATATGGCGTGGAATTACTGAGAATGCCAAAGTGTTATGTAAAGGAGCTCGGGTGGCTGTTGGGAATGGCGTTCAAACTCTGTTTTGGGATCATGTATGGGTTGCTTCTTGTCCTCTTCGCGAGCTTGCAATTGCGCCAATTCCACAAGAGGTTGATGGGGCAACTGTCGAGGAAGTGAGGGACTCTGAAACTGGATGGAAGTGGGAATTGTTTGCAGAACACCTCCCTAGGGTCTCCCTTCAATTGATAGATGCGCACAAGTTAAGGAATGATCCTTCGTTTGGTTACTTGCTGTAGCGGGGGGTGGAAGCTCAAGAGGCAAGTTTACGATAAAATCATCTTTATAAATGATCTGTAAAGATGATAAAATTAATTCAGAGGGCAGATGGGAATTGATGTAGAAAATTTGGGTTCAACGTACAAAGGGTGAGAGTTCTACTTTGGCTAATTCTAGATGATAGATTAATACACAATGTCAACCAATTTAAAAGAGACTTGACCAATGATCTGAAGTGTAATGCGTGCCCTGATCATGATGAAACTATGCTCATATGCTTAGGGTCTTAGGGACTGCAAGGTGGCAAGGGAGATTTGGAAGCAAGTTGGTGGTCCTACAAATGCTTCAAATTTTTGTTTGGGAAACCTGACTCAATGGATTGTTTGAAATATAAAAGTTCAAGACAGAGGGAATATGTCCCTTGAGATTTGGCCAAGTTACTTTGCCTTAGTTATATGGTGGTCTTGGAGGTGGAGATGCAATATAAGCTTCAATAGAGCAAGGGAAAATCCAGTTGATATAAAGTCTTTTCTCCTAGCAAAATTTGAAGAGATTTGGAGAGTGCTTGGGGACTTTAACCATCACTAGTAGAAAAAGATAAATGGACACCGCCAAATGCCCACCGGATATTGAAAACCGGTGGTAAAAATGTAAGACAAGACAAAAAAAAAATACGTTTAATAGAGAGAAATGCCCACCGGTTAACCGGTGGCCTTTTCCCAAATAAATAAAAATCCCTAAATTAGAACACTCACTCTTTCCTTGTTATTCACGAACTATCTCGTTCTCTCTCCTCACTCTCCTGTTTCCTCTCTCCTCTCAAACTCTCTGTCTCCTCTCTCTTCTCGCGCCACCGCAGCCACCACAAGCGCAACCATCCCCTCTCTCCTCTTTCTCCATCCTAGCTTCCCACCACATCCACCACCAGCGCAACCCTCCTCTCTCTGCATCCTAGCTTTCCACCACCACCACCGCATTCGTCACTAATGAAGATGTCAAAGCAAGTCCTTAAAAAACTTGGAGAACGATCCCTAGATCTCTAATGGTGACGTTGCTCCTCACAAGGTTCATCCCTCTTTTTTTTGTTAAATTTGTATAATTTGGGTTAGGGTTTCGAATTCGTTGAGTTTTTGGGTTTTGATTTTGGATTTTGTGATTTGGTTATTGTTTTTGAGTTTGAATTTGTATGTGATGGTTGATTTCGAGTTTGATTTTGTCCCTGTACTTCGATGATTATTGTAATTTTCGATCTGATTCCCAGAACCCTCTTTTTGATTTTTCTTGTAATTTTGATATTCAAGTGTTTTCACTTAGTTTAGATTATGGGTTTAATTGGGTTTTAGTAGCCTTAGCAGACTTGATAGTAAGTTTCGGAGTTTGAAATCAGATTACACAACTCAGTTTTATTGCGATTGATCTAGGGTTTTGTTAATTTGTTTCAATAATTTCGATTGATCTAGGATTTTGTTAATTTGAGCTTTTGGAACTGTGACATACAAAATGAATTATGGGTATACGCAGTATTTGAATTGTGAGTATTTTTGAGTATTTGATACTTCAATCTTTAAAATTTCAGTAGTTTGGTTTGTGGATGTATTGTGAATATTATATTGGTTGTCATTTAATTTGATTTTGTGGGTATATTTTGACTGATTTTTTCATTATGGACTTGATGGTATGGGTATATATTTTGATTCCTTTGAACTTACTATTTTATCAATATTCTGATTTCTTCGTAAGACCATAATGTGTTGAGTCTGAGTGCGAATATTGTCTCTTGGAAGGTTAAACTAGAGAAAATTACATATCTTCCCTAGTTCTGTTCTAGCAAAGTTGGTACAATGTAAATTTAATTGAAGCATATTATACTACTACCTCTGTTCTTGTATGTTTTACTCACTTACTATGAATACGCAATTTAAGAAAATGTTGAAGAATGTGAGTGAATGTAAGATAAAGTAAGAGAGAATGTAAAAAGGTAAGTTTGTGCAAGAAAAAGGTGAATAAAGTAGGAGAGAGAGTATGGAAAGATGTAATTATTGTGAGGTTAGATGGGTAAGATGTTAAAAAGGGTATGCTATAAATAGAATAAAGCAAAGCGAGTAGAACTTAAAAAAAGCCTAATATGGAGAGTGAGTCGAACAAAAAAGAATGGTGGGAGTACTTACAATGCCAAGAATCTTATGCTAAAAAAACAGTACCAAGAGTTTTGCATTACTGTGTATTTTTTACTTGCTTAGCTGTAAATATTTCTTGATGGTTGGTCAGTTCTGGGGCAAGTACTGCAGTATAGCTGTCTCCATGATTTAAAATTCTCTCTAAAATTTTGTGTCCAATAAGCAATCTGTTCTATTCACCAGGTTCGGCAACGTTTGAAGAGAGACCATGGCATTGAAGGTGGAATCCCTGTGGTGTTCTCCCTGGAAAAACCGAAAGTAAAACTGCTTCCATTCAAGGGTCTTAATGGAGAAGAGGAAAATCCTTCTGATTACCAAGTGAGAATCCTAAGCTCCAATTTACCTTATCTTGTGAATATTGACCTGCATTTTACGAATTAACTACCTTGTACTTAGAGAACACTGATTATGGTTTTCCTTCATTGTTGACTTCCTATTGATCCTTCTCTTTAACACTTGAGGTATAGACCATAGAGAGAGATGGGAAAAGTAATTTAAGCACCTGTTTGTTTGGCATCAGGACAAGGATCAGATAGGAAGTATGAAGATACATAAGTTGGAGTAGAGATTCTTTAAAGAGGCCTAATGCATGCGCAAGAATTATGGAGAGTATACATTAGAGGATAAAGTGGAAAAAGTAAAAATAACAGTGAACAAAGTGTGTGAATAATAGCCATTGTTGAGCACGCTAGGGTTGTTAATGAGCCGAGCCCGAATACTGGTAGACTCGCCTCGAGCTCGTGAGTTCGGATTCGAGGCTCGGATCGAGGTCATGGCTTGTCGAGCCTTGAAAATTGAGCTCAGCTCAAGCTCGAGTGCTCAAAAGTGAAGCTCGCTCAAGCTCGTTATTGGCTTGAGTTTGAAATTAGGCTCGTTATAAGCTCGATTTTGAAATTAGGCTCATTTAGGTCCATAAATACATAATCTATGTCTCATAACTTACCCAACTACCCAAGTATAATAGTGGCCAATTGTTATTGTGCTTATTAACATTATTTAAATGTAAAAAATATGTAATATTTATTTTATAAAATATAATTTGCGCCTCTCGCGAGGTTTTCGAGCTGAGCTTAGCATGGCCTCTTGTATCGTCTCGTTTAGTCTCGAGCCGAATTCGAATTGGAGCTGAGTCCTTGCAAGCTGATATTTGACCGAGTCAAGATCAAACAGTCTATTTATATGCAACACTCACTATTGATGGTGAGGTTCACAGATTACTCTCTTAGAGATATAACTAACACCCCCCCCCCCAAATGAGTTTGTTTACAAACAATGCCTTTTGGATTTATAAGGCATATAGAGCTAGCAGGATATCTATCTCATTTCTCATGAAAGCATCCTATTTATAGAACAAGGTTTCAGTTGAGCTTGTTTATGAACGATTGTTCCACACTTCAGTAATAAAGTAAGATTCAAGTGATTTACTCGATTTAACAATAGGCATGCTCTATGAAGTATATCTTAGTGAAAAACTTATCAAGCGTCTGATTCACAAAATATCCAATATCAAGTGTCCAATTCACAACAGCTCCAATATTAAGTGTTTTACGACTTTTACCTTGAGTGACTAGTTATCATCGGTTTTTAATACATATTATATATACATACGCTTTTTTTTAATGTTGCTGATGTTCTGACCTTTAACTCTTTCATCCAGGTTGTACCAGGGTTTAGGGTCCGGATTATACCTGTTCTTGGATCTGTGCCTGCGATTTTTGGGCAAATTATGTCCTCGTATGTTGTCACAAAGCTAGCAGGGCTGCGAATTGAAAATGAGCCAATAGTTAATTTTGATGTGGAGCACTATCAAGCTCTCCATCAACGGTTGATTGAGCATGAAGAACTAGTTTATGGTACTGCTAGCGAAGTACAGGTATGATGATTTCCTTAAGAATCTCTCATTGCCCCCCCCCTCCCCCCCTCTCTTGTTCCAATCCCGATAACAAAAATGGAAAGCGGATTATTTTTTAGTTAAAAGCTTTTACTTGAGACAGTAGAAAAGGTTCATAGCTCTGAAGCAGAACACTCACAAGACTTGTTTACAGTTGGCTGTGACAAAAAATTAGGAAATTTCCATAGAAATCAGTAGGGGAAATACTAAAATTTGAATTTTGGTAAGAAGGCTTGAACTTTGGCATGATTTTTCTCCATGTAACATACTAGTGGAATTTTAAGGTTTTTAGAAATGTAATGTGTGCCTTAAGAGATTTTATGCCTTTACTTTTTTTAAAACCAAGCTGTTCTTACTGTTTTGCCACTAAAACCATTATTTCTTGGTTACATAAAGTAATGTGGACTCCTCAAAGGGGAATGGAAGAGGAGGGGGGGGGGGGGTGCATCAATTTGTTGGATTAAGCGTTGTTCCCTCAACCTTGAATGTAAAGATGGGAGAAAACCTGTGCCTTTTCGCCTGTTGCTCACCTCAGCTTTTACTGACTGCTGTTTCTGTGACGTACATTATTGACTATTACTCTCCTTTATTAAGGTAGATGTTGAAGAAGTGAGGTATGTTGTCAAGGAGTTGTGGCATGGACGAAGTGCTAAAGATGGTTCTTTTAATGGCGTGGGACGTGCAATGTGGCGATCCGTTAACGAATTGATGCTTGTAAGGTACATGTTCTACTTATGTTATTGGGTAAACGCTCAAGCAATCAAGAGTCCGTATTTTGTACAAGTAGTTTTTATATCTGTTTGTATTTGTTGTCTCTTTCTTACCAATTTATTATGCACTATATGCTTTATTTGATGAATAATCAATCATATTTTTCAAGAAGGTATAAAGACTGGAGTAAGCTTTTAACGTTATTAATTTTGTTGATCAAAACATAAAAATATTCAAGGACTTTGTTGGAAAACTAAGCACTTGCCTGTGCTCTTGTGGTTGTTAATTTTGCCAAGTGAGAGAGTAAGTAAATGTTCTTGCTGCTATTGTTTACTTGACCAATGGCACTAACATGCAATGTAATATTAATTAGTTGTTGCAATGACTACAACTTGTAACACTAGATTGGCGGTCCATGATTTGAACATGATTTATCATCGTAATATATATAGCTTTACATATACTGATAGTACTTAATTGGAAATATATAAGAGATAATTAAATAACAAAGCAGTTGATGGAAACTGAATATTATGGAAATATTGTAAATAGTTTTTGTTATTTTAATATTCAATGCTTCCCTCATTATTGTGTGATTCGAGGATTATATTCAGTGTATGGAAATATGATTTCTTATTAGTATATAAAGCTTAACTGCCTCTATATTTGGTAAAAATTACTCCCTCCGTTCTTTTTAGTTTTACACTTTCGATTTTAGTTTGTTCTTTTATGTTCTACTCAGCATTTGCCATCTTACCCCTTCAGCCCCACAATAAAAGGGGTAACATGGATCTAATGAATGTGCCAAAACATCTTCTGATTTTTTTATTTTTGTGTACTGGTGAGTTGCTTGTTAATATAGCTAATTATTTTCTGCTTTCCATGGCATACTGTTGGTCATTGCCAATATAGGTGGGATAGCACAAAGCCTGCATCTGTTTCAAACTTGATTCTTCTGAAGTTCGATGAGGTATTATTTTTATTACATAAGCACTATTTTTCTTGTTCTATAGTGCGAATCTACAAATAGTATGTCTGAATGCAAAAAAAAAAAAAAAATTGCTTTCAGAAATCAAGAGATTTCAATTTTTTCACCGTAAATGTTTTTTTTTTTTTTTTTTTTTTTTTTTTTTTTTTTTTTTTTACTGTAATGAAGTGCAGCGAACTTAAGAGATGTTGGCGCAGCAGCTGTGCCAACATCTGTTTTATATCACAACTTAAGAGATATTATATCACAACTTTCTGTTTATTGCCCTTTCTCTTTGTTATTGATAGAGGCACTATTGTTCTGTCCCAATCTCCTTGTTACTCCTTTAGCAATCTTCTTCCCAAGTTTTGTAACTCATTGGAAACTCTAAAATATGAGGGAAAATCTTTATTGGACATCCAAAGTTGAATAGCCATGTGTATAATTGAAGCATGAACTGTATTGGTCATTTATTGCAAACTATTGTTTCTAGGAAATGTGAGTCAGTGCAAGAAAATAGTTTATAATATAAGTGATAAGGTAAAAGATGGATGAGTGTAAGAAAAAGTTGAATAAATATGGTGGCGTAAAGAGGGTAAGATGGTCAAAGGTAGTTCAAAATACAGGGAATATATTTTTATATTACTACCATGGATATGGATACAAATAGAATTTAGTATTCATGGTGAAGCTGGCTCTTGTAATCAAACTCCACCTGATTACCTTTGGTCATCTATGATCTATGTTAATCTTCCCCCCTCCAAATTCTCTAATTTTCGAGCTTATTCTAATTTGTCTAATCCGCAGGTGGATGAACATGAATCAATGACACTTGATGACATTAAAGAGAAGGAACCAGAGTTTTTAAAACGTGTGTCTAATGTTCTAAAGCGAGCTGATTTGGACTTCTGCCTGTAACTGCACTTCATGTCCTCCATCTCTAAATTCAGTCATTCTTGTTAATGAAGGGTCCTTCTTCGGTAAGCAATATTTCAATTTGTCTATTTGAGACAGTTTAGCAATCTTGGAATTATCCCATAAAAAATCGAAAATTCAGCACATTTTTATTGGCTATTGCAGATTCATACATAGTCCTAAAATCAAAATGGCCTCAAATATGAAGATCAGAAAGTAGTCAAGGGATTCACTCCTCAACAGAGGCCAAAAAAGAAGACAATTAATGCTGCAATGTAGTGTTCCCTCAATGTGATGGCCCTTTTTGTGCTAAGAGGTGACAGGGAGGCCAAATCTCAAATAAATAATGATTAATGACAGGGAGAATTTTACAAAATAGATAATGACAGGGTGCTGTTTACAAAATTGAGTTATTTATTTAGATCTCCCCAAGCTTTTATGCCTATTTACTAGAGCTATTATGCCTTTTATCAATTCTTCAATCGTCCAAAATTTTCCTAAAATCCGTTTGGTTGAATGTAAGAATTGCAACTTCTTTGGAAATATTATTTCCCATGTTGGATTTTCTAGGAAATTTTAAACATAAGTATTTGATTAAGGCAACTTTCATTGACTACTCCCTCCGTTCCCGAAACTTCGATCCTTTTGGGTTGATTTTGCGGGTATTAAGAAACTTAAATAAAAAAAAAGTAAAAGTATATTGGAAAGATAAATTTACATGGGGTTTGTAAAAAAGTAGAGAGAGAGAAAGAGTAATAAAAGTATATGGAAAAAACAAAGTTTTATATGGGGATCTAATTTTGCACAAATATTGTTGCAAATTAGTGGGTGTATTAATGCTAATGAGTCGATCATTTTGGGACTAAAATTAGGCCATAAGGGTCAAAGTTTTGGGGATGGAGGGAGTACAAAATTTGCTATTTTTCTAACCTACATTTTACCCTTAAAAAACACTAATAATGTACTCCCTCAGTCCCATATTTGGTGTCTATTTCTCAAAAAATACGATAATTAAGGAGAATGGTAAAAGTAGGGGAATATGCTATTGAAAATATAAAAAGTTGAAAATATTGTATAGGAATAATAAAAAGTAAGTAGAGAAAAGGGGGTTGTTAAATATCGCCCTCAAATATCTAACTAACGCCCGCAAAATAAAATAAAATTACGTATTTATCCTTATAATAATTATAAAAAATAATTAATTTTACCTCAATTTCACACTTTTACTGTACACAAATTTTTTTTACCGTTCTCTCTAGTGGTCAACGGCCACCAACGCTCATCGAACAACCACCCAAACCACCGTGAGTTTCAAAATCAAACAAATTTTTAAAATTTTGCAAAATCAATTTCGTTAGATCTTATGGACAACGACGAAATACAAGAAACACAACCTTAGACGCTTGTAAAAGGCTCGTCAAGCCGTATGAAATCGGTACGTCGCGATAAATTTTTTTAAAAAAATTCAAAACCCAGGAAACACTTAGTTTTTTAGAATACCCTAGGCTGAAACGCCTAGTTTTTTAGAATACCCTAGGCTGAAACGCCTAGTTTTTTCGAAACATCCTAGGCTATTCAAAAAAACTAGGCGTTTCAGCCTAGGGTATTCTAAAAAACTAGGCGTTTCACCTCAAACGCCCAGATTTTTCATACAACCATACGGTTGTTCATAAGAACTAGGCGTTTGAGCCTAGGACGTGCAAAAAATCTAGGCGTTTGCCGCAAATTCAACAAAAATAAAATAAAAAACATTTTCTCCGTTGGCGATCGACTTTCCTTTGTCCTTACTTGTCATTACCGCGGCTGTGTAGATCGTGAAACCGGAGGTAAGGAGTTGGTGGTTAAAAGAGGAGGAGGTGGTGGTGGTGGTGGGTATAGTAGTATGATGAAGAGGGGGTAAATTGAGGGGGTAATTTTTTTGATAAAAGGGTAAATTTGTAATTTTAGTTTATTTTGCGGGCGTTAGTTAGAGATTCGAGGGCGACGTTTAAATATTGTAAAAAGTAAGTAATAATTTTTTGGGGTATATGTGTATTTTGTATGGGAAAGATAAAAAGTAAATAATGATTATGAGTTATATTTAGAAACATGCACAACAATTTGGGACACCAAAAAAGAATACAAGTACGAAATTATGGGACGGAAGTAGTATTAGATTAATATTATTGGGTACTAACCCACTCCCGTTCTGTACATATTGCAGGCGTAAGGCAATAGGTCTTATGTGCATACTTATGCATCTATTATACGTGCAACAAGGGAAGACCCAAAATACGCTGCCCAAATCAATAACCCAGACAACATATTCGCGATCCGCCATAATCAACACTACGCTCTACAAAATGAACATTTAGTAAAAAAATATGAACATGAAAAAAATGAACATTTAATAATAAAAAATGAACACGTTAAAAAAATGAACATTTAATACTTATAATGCATATGTTTCATAATCATATTATTTTTTATTTCTTCAAATTTTTATGTTCATAATTAAATGCATTATATTCATAATAATATTTTATAATGTTCATATATAATTTCAAATATTCATAATGTAAATATGTGTTGCTCATGAAATATTAATTAAATCTGTTTATGCATATGTTGTCTTTTTTAAATGTTAATGTTCATATTTTTTTACGTATATGTTCACCTTTTAAATGCTTATATTCACTTTAAGGAAACCAATACTTACGTTCATATTTTGAATTGTTATGTTCACTTTCTGAAATGCATAAGTTCATATTTTTTATATCTATGTTCACTTTCTGAAAATCTAATGTTCACATTTAAGGGAACCTATGCAAATGTTCATATTGTGCATGATTATGTTCATTGATAAAAAAAATTGTAGAAAATCATATAAAATTCAATTCATATAGAATTAAGAAAATCATATAAACAAAATTAAGCAAATTCAATCAAAAAAGTGTAAAAAAAAAGGAAAAAATTAAGCACAAAATTTGTGAATTCAAAGATTCATATAAACAAAATTTGTGAATTCAAAGATTGAATCAATTGAAATTAAGAAAATCATATAAACAAAATTTGTGAATTCAAAGATTCATATAAACCTTAATCAATCGAAATTTAGCACAAAATCGAAATTAAAAAACATACTTAATAACTACTTTCATGTTGTAAGAAACAAATTCAATAAAAAAAAAGTGTAAAAAAGGGGAAAATTAAAAAATCAGAGGGGAGAAAAAATTTAAAATGAAGGAGAAAATAGAGGAGAAAAAAGCTAATGTCCACTTTTTGAAAAGCTAATGTTCATATTGTTTTGTTGTTAAACCTATTTCTAGGTGCATGAGTGTGCACCTAACAATATGTGGTTCCTATCATCATAAAATGAGTTTGGGCTAGATGTAAAAAAATGTCTAGATTTGCTATATTTTGGTGATTTTGACTAATTTTCCCTTTGCTCCCCTACATCAATTTTCTTAAGGATTTTTTCTCGTGAACTATACATTTTTTTTTTTTTGTAGATTTTTATACAATTATTAATTTTCCAAGGAACATTGCTATTTATAGATTTTTTAATAGATTTTTTTTTGTGTGTCAAAAAAGGAACATTGTTATTTAATTATTTATTGTAATGCACATTTTTCCTATATTTCAATTTCAATTACCATTAATTTTAAAAAATCGAGTAGGGCTTGGGAATTATCTAGTTACTAAGAAATATAGTGTTAGTATAGATAATTGAATTGTCAAAATAAAACAACCTTTGGGCGGTTTTCCAAAAATAAAATGACATTTGATGGATTTCTGTTCATTATAGAGCAGCGATTGGTTAGTAACCTATGTAATAGCTTAATTGTGACACGTGTCACAATGCAATTAATAAATTGTTTAAAAATTTTGGGAAATTTGCCAAAAACAACACCACATTTGAGCGGTCTATCAAGAATAACACCATCTTTTGATTATTCCATAATAACACCACGCTCTTTATGTATTTCTTCCTTAAATGGTACAAAAATATGGGTAACCAGTTTTTGCAGGTAAACTTGGTGACGTGGCAAGTTTAATTTTTTGTGGTAAGTCAAGGATTGACTTTCATTTCCCCTCCCCTAAGCCTACGTGGAATTAAATTCCTCAACCACCCCCTGTTCCCTTTTTAATTCATTTCCCTTCCAATTTAACTGTCTCTCCATGTCTTCTCTATGAAAAAATTAAGCATCCAACTACAATTGTAGAGCTGTTAAGAGTTAATTAATTTAGTCATCAATTATGGTGTGAATTTCCACACTCCAATTTCTTCATTGCATTTAATGTAGTAGCCAACCTTATTGCCACCCTCTAAGGTTATAGCCCACAATGTAATAGTGATTCTTACTACTATAAATAGCCATGCAAATTCACTTGTATGAGGCACACAGAAATATTACCAAGAGTAATATATACAAGTAGTAATACTTCTCTTATTACCTTCTTCTCTTAATCCTCTAATTTCTATATATTTCATAACATGTTATCAGCACCATCTTCAATCAGGTTTACTTTTATCGATTATCCAATTTTACAAAGATTCAATTTCTTTCACAAAATATATTTTGAGGAGTATGCTCTATATAGTTGCCCATGTGGGATCCTCTATACCAGAAACTCACAATATATTTCTCCACAAAATTACTCTACATAATTAGCCATGTTGATAAAAATGAGGATATCAATACATTCTATATTTATGATATTTAGTTTGGTAATGATGCAGCCTTTATATTTATTTAGTTTTAGATTACACACTTTTTATGTTTCTTCCAGTTTTCGAACTCTTGACCTCATGAATAGATTAGGGTTCTCGGACCACTACGGCTTACATCTCAATGTGATACTTATTTACGTTAATAAATATTAATAGTTTGATTACAAATATTTTACCAGTCTACTAGAACATTGTGTGATATATTTACAGTTGTGTAAAACTACAATGGATAATTCACCCCCTATAAAAGCGGATTGCACCCCCCTTATTTCACCATACAAACCTTATCCCCTCCTTAATTAACTTTACCCAAATTATTTCCTCTTCTTCTTCCTACATTCACTTCGGCCACGCACCGTGTTCCCTGTCGACAACCGACAACCACCACACCCCTTTACCTTTGAAGAAGATTTAAGGAAATTAAAGCTATACTTAGTTTTAATTATGGCCCTAGTATTTTTATTAATGGCAATGATGATTTTCATCATTTTACATAAGTAGCGCTCGGTTTTTCGACAAAGGGAATTAATGCATGTAATCTCCGTAATACTTCAAGTTTTCATTTGTCTTCTAGGTAGATTATAAGTACATTTTGTTATAATAAATGAACCTTTTGTCTTATCATAATAGTAGTTGTATTTATTGTTAATATTATCTTTATTGTTGTTATTATTGTTGTTGTTTAACTAACGTAATTATCATGCTTTATTTTAGCTTAATTTTATGTAAATCATAATAATAACCCAAGGGGGAGAAGCAAAATATGTTTTAAATGGCTTATTATTATGATTATAATTTGATTACTTTAATTATCACTTACTTAATTGACTTAATACTAATTATCTATTTGATTGTAGTTAAAAATGGGAGACTTGATGAAAAGAAAATTTGACGTATTAGACTTGTCCGGGTATAATTATCTTGAATTTGATGCCCAAATAAATTTAAAGGCTCAGGGATTCGAACATACAATAAAAAAAATTACCATCCCAAGAAACGAGAAAGATGCCCCTGCTCAAGTTAAAGTTCCTACTGATCAAGAGAAAGAAAAAGCTATAGTTCTCTTAAGGCATCATTTATATAACAATTTAAAAACTGAGTATTTAATGGTGGAAAATGCCAAAGAACTATGGGATAGCCTGAAAGGAAGATATGACCACCACAAAAGGGTACTCCTTCCTTCAGCACAATTTGAGTGGACAAACCTGAGATTTCAGGACTTTAAATCTGTCAGTTATTATAATTCACCACTATATAAAATTGTATCAATATTGAGATATTGTGATAAACTAGTCACTGAAGTGCAAATGATTGAGAAAACACTCTCTACATTCCATGCTAATAACATTATATTGCAACAGCAATACCATGAATTGAAAGAGGCTTTGCAAAATATTCAGAGCTTATTTCTACATTATTGGTTGTTGAAAAGAATAATGATCTTTTTTTTGAAGAATAACAACCTAAGACCAACTAGGTCTCAAGCATTCAATGAAATAAATGCTGTAGAAAGCTCAAATCCACCTGAGACAAATGTTGCTCATAGAGGTGGACGTGGAAAATATAATAACTGTGGCAGAGGTCGTGGAAATTTCTGCGGATATGGCCGTGGACATGGTCATGGCCATGGTAGAGGTCATTTTCCCCCTAGAAACAACACTCAAAGGGGGCATCATTAAGGAAACAAAAATCAAGCCACCATAAAAGGAAAAGACATATGTTATAGATGTGGCATGACTAGACATTGGGGGCGTACTTGTCGTACGACCAAACATTTGGTAAAACTTTATCAGGCTTCCATTAATGGGAAAGAAAAACATGTCGAGGCAAATTTTTTTAATGAAGAAAATGTCTCTAGAACTAGCCTTGATGTGTCTGATTTCCTCATAGACAATGGTGAAGCTGGTGGTGAATTTATCTTTGGAGAGAATAATCATGTTTAGATAATTCATTAATTACTATGATATGTATTATGTTTTCTTTATGTACTTTTCTTTATGTTTTTCATGTTCAAGTTATGTACTTTTAATTTCCATCATTAATAAAGTAACTCCGATTTAATTATATTAAACTAATCTTATACTTATTATTTTAAGAAGATATGGATCTGCCCAAAGTTGGTTCCAAATTTCAACGCCTTTTGGATAGTGGAACAACACACACTATTCTGAAGGATAGAAAATATTTTTCAAAATTAAAATTGTTTCAAGCAAATGTTGATACCATTTCTAGGTCAGCTAAGCTAATAGAAAGTTCTGGAAAAGCTTGCATAATACTCCCAAATGGAACAAAATTAATCATTATAATGACGCTTTATATTCGAGTAAATCTCGAAGATATCTTATAAGCTTTAAAGATGTGGGTCAAAATGGTTTTCATTTAGAAACAATGATAGTGGATCAAAAGGAATATTTATGCCTCACGGCAGAGAAACATGGCAAGAAACATGTATATGAGAAATTGCCAGCATATTCTTTAGGGTTATATCATATAGATATACGACCAGTTGAAATAAATTCGATATCTAACCAGAAGTTAGATAATAAGAATCTGCTAACTTTATGGCATGATCGTTTGGGTCATCGTGGTACAAGAATGATGCACAAGATTATAGCAAATTTAGTTGGACATTCAATTAGGAATGTCAAAATCCCTCGATCTGATGAATTAACATGTTCTGCATGTTCACTTGGCAAATTAATAATAAGGCCATCTGTGAACAAAATTGCTACTGAATCTCCAACATTTGTAGAAAGGAATCAAGGAGACATTTGTGGACCAATTAATCCTGCATGTGGACCATTTCGATATTTTATGGTATTAATAGATGCTTCATCTCGATGGTCACATGTTAGTCTCTTGTCCAGTAGAAATGTTGCTTTTGCAAAACTTCTTGCTTAAATTATTAAATTAAGAGCACAATTTCCAGAACATACAATAAAAAGAATAAGGCTTGACAATGCTGGGGAATTTACATCCCAAACATTTAATGATTATTGTATGTCAAATGGAATTATTGTAGAACATCCAGTAGCTCATGTTCATACACAAAATGGCATCAATGAGTCATTAATTAAGAGACTACAATTGATTGCAAGGCCATTATTGATGAAATCAAAATTTCCTACATCTCGGGGTCATGCCATAATACATGCGGCAACTCTAATTAGATTGAGACCAATTGCTTATCATAAGTTCTCACCACTACAATTAGTTTTTGGTCGAGAACCTAATGTCTCACATCTAAATGTTTTTGATTGTTGATAACCCGGGTAAAAGGCGCGCCCGATCGGGCGCAGGTCCGCCCGGGATTTCTTTTTTTGTGCACTCGCTTTCTCCGATTTTGCGCCCGATTGGGCAAAATTTCACTCGATTTCTCCTTCACTTGCGCGCTCGATCGGGCAGGGGTCGCCCGATCGGGCGATTTTTCACTCGATTTTTGGCTCACTCTTGCGCCCGATCGGGCCCCTGCCCAGCTCGGGACACTCAATCTTCTCTAACTTTTTCTCTTGAAGACTCTTTATTTGTTCAAAACCTGTGCAAAAAACACTTTGAAAAGGTAAAATTGCATTCTCCTCACCTCTCAAAAATAAAAAAAGAAGAAATAAAAGAAAGGAAAAATTAGTCTAGAAAGCAAGAAATACGGGCTGCCTCCCGCAAAGCGCTGGTTTATCTAGGTCCCGCACGACCCTCTTACCACAATGTAACTCACGATGAACCGGAACCGGTTAGGTGAACTAGTTCAATCGCACCGATCGTATCCCCTTCATGGTATAGCTTGAGTCTTTGACCATTAACCTTGAACTCGTTACCTTGCTCATCAAACAATTCCATAGAACCAAACTTATTAGCCCTTTTTACAGTAAAGGGACCAGACCACCTTGACTTCAACTTTCCTGGGAAAAGTTTAAGTCTAGAGTTGAACAACAACACCTTTTCACCCTCTTTGAACTCTCTTGGAAGGATCATTTTGTCGTGTCATCTCTTGGTCTTCTCCTTGTAGACTCGTGCACTATCATAAGACCATCAACCTTAACTCATCGATTTGGTGTTAAGTTGAAGTAACCTCTTTTCTCCTGCTAGCTTAGCATCCAAATTGAGCTCCTTAATAGCCCAATATGCTTTGTATTCTAATTCCACCAGAAGATGACATGATTTACCGTACACAAGTCTATAGGGGGTAGTACCTATTGGGGTCTTAAATGCAGTTCTGTATGCCCAAAGGGTGTCATCCAACTTATCGCTCTAATATTTCCTTGATTTGGCTACCACCTTCTCTAGTATGACCTTGATTTCCCGGTTGGAAACTTCAACATGGCCACTAGTTTGGGGATGATAGGCTAGACCTGTCCTATGGGTATACACTATACTTCTTGAGAAGGGTGTCTAACTTCCGCTCATGAAAGTGAGATCATCCATCACCGATTATGTCTCTAGGTACTCCAAATCATGGAAAGATGGTCTTCTCGAAAAGTCTATGGACCACCTTGGCATCATTGGTAGGAGTGGCAATGGCCTCAACCCACTTGGATACATAGTCGACGGCGACAAGTATATAAAGATTCCCATTTGAAGAAGGGAACGGTCCCATGTAATCAACATACCAAAAATTAAAAATTTCTACTTCCAAAATCCCGGTTTGAGGCATCTCATGCCACCGCAAAATGTTGCCAGTCCTCTGGCAAGAGTTACAAGCCTGCACAAAAGTGTTAGCATCCTTGAACATGGTGGGCAAGTAGAATCCTGACTCATTTATCTTGGCCACCGTCTTGGTGGGACCATGATGTCCACCATAAGGTGAAGTGTGGCAACTGGTAAGAATGTCGTGGACTTCCCATTTGGGAACACACCTGCGAAATAATCCATCTGCACACACACAAACAAAAAAGGATCATTCTAAAAATAATTTTTAACATCATAAAGGAATTTCTTTTTCTGTTGGTAGGATACGTGGGGAGGTAGAGTACCACCCACTAAATAATTAGCAAAATCGGCATACCATGGGTGCTGCTCTACAACTGCATACATGTGATCATCAGGGAAAGAGTTATCTATAGGAATAGAATCCTTACCCTCATCATACCTGATACGTGACAAGTGGTTTGCCACAATGTTCTCTGCACCTTTGTAGACACCTAAAAATGTCTCCCCAAAACCAAACCAAATGATGAACATTTAATCTTGGAGTACTTAAATCCATATTTCCATTTCATAAACCAACCCAACTCCTAGCCCATTTCCCCAAACCATAACTTTTTTTTTCCTCTTTTCGTGCCTTTAAACCCAAAATAATTCATTTCGTGTCCTTTTTATAAAAACGTTTATTACAATTTATTTTGGTTCATAATTTGGGTCCAATGATTGAATATTTGGATAGGAATTGAAAAGAGTTTTCCAACGATATATTATAAGCCCAAATCCGAGTTATAACGAATAAGTTATGACCAAAATATTAAACTGAGCCCAAACCGAACCTAAGTCCACCTTACCTACGACCCAATGATCATGTGGAGGGTCCAAATGATTTAAGCTCGTTCCTAAACCAATTAGGATTAATTGGAAGCTTCTATAAGTTTCTAAAAGATCTTAATTATCCTTTTTGAAAAGATAAGATTAAAAAGTTTGAAATTAAATAAAACTTTTCTTTTTGAAAATCCTAATTCTATTCGAATTGAAAGACGTTCAAAGATAGACGGATATTATTTTCTTGCCTCATATTTTTTATCCAAATCTTAGATGGTTGGATAGCCCTTGAAATTATATTTTCAATGATACATTATAATATTAATTCCGAGCTATAACGGAAAAGATATGAATAAAATACCAAACTCTATCCAAAACTGACTCCGTCTCACTATTTCAGCCATATCTTATATTCTACAAATCTGATTTTAATTGTGTCAGAAATTAGACTTCAAGAGATTTCCAACTATATCTTTTTCATCTTATTCCAATTTTTGGATAAAAAGATATGATAAAAACAAAAACCGTAAAAACTGCAATCTATCGAGTTTTATTCCGATTTAATTCGGATCTTATCTTGATTCTTCGACCCTTCTTTTTTTTCTATAAATAGACGTCATATCTCCCTTTTTCAATCATCAACAATCTTTATCATCAAATTTTCTCTCTTCCTCTATTTTACACCAAAAATCATTCTCTTCTCTTTCTCTCTCTCATATTCTAAGCCTTAAACCTATATTCCTAATTACACCATTCTTCCCCTAAGCACTCCAAGGAGTCCATACTAACCCGAGGTTCCATCTTTAAACCAAGGCGTGAAAGGTACAAATAACTGAGGGTTTGGACCAAATCAAATCTACATTTATTTAATTTAATTTCAATTTGATTTATATTTTTATTGGAGTTACTAACAATTTATTCATGATGTAGCAATTCAAGAAAACGCGGAAAGTGGGTAATTAATCACTTAATTACTCTTATTTTTATTCTTGTTGCTAGTATCATGATTAGGCTAATTTATGATTTGATTTAACAAACAATATTATGGTTAAATTGCTTCCAATATTAATGTTTATTCTTTTATTATTTTTAATCACCATATTGCATGTTTAAAGGGAATATGTAATTGAAAATCATGCCTAATAAGATAATTTGGACAACCGGTTTAAGTTCCTTTTTAATCTTGTTGTTTAATCAAGCGATCACTAATATTTTA